ATGGTTCATTTTACATGTCAATTTTGCTAGGTTACAGTACACAATCAAACATTAATCTAGGTGTTGCTATGAAGGTATTTTGGAGATGTATTTAATATCTATAATCAGTTGACTTTAGGTAAAGGAGATTAATCTTTACCTAAAGTGGGTGGAACTTTTTCAATTAGCTGAAGGCCTTAAGAGCAAAATCTGAGATTTCTCAGAGAAAAAGAAATTCTGCCTCAAGACTGCAGCATCAACTCTTGCCTGAGTTTCCAGCCTACTCAGCTGCCCAACAGATTTCAGACTTGCCAGATTCCATAATCACGTGAGCAAAATATTTAAAATGAACTGATGGCTCTGGTCAGAGCAATTAACCAAGGAAAAGAAATAAAAGGGTTCAAATTGGGAGAAAAAAAGTATAACTATCTCTGTTAACAGATTACATGATTCTTTATATAGAAATACTAAAGAATATACATGTGTGCATACATGTATGCACACATACAAAACTATTAGAGCTAATAAGTAAATTTTCAGAGTACATGATCAACACTTGCTATGGTTTAAATATATCCCCCCAAAAACATGCTAGAAACTTAATTCACAATGCAATGATGTTGGGTAGTAGGGCCTAATGTAAGTTGTTTAGGTCATGAGGTCTCACCATCATGAATGGATTAATGCCAACTGTAAAAAGACTTGAGGCTTTAAGTTTGATCCCTTGCTCTCTAGCCCTCTCTTTGCCCTGCCACCATGGGATAACATACCGACTAGGCTCTCATCATATGCCAGCCCTTCAATCTTGGACTCTTCAGTCTCCAGAACCATGAGGCAATAAATTCCTGTTTATTATATATTACCCAGTCTGTAGTATTCTGTTACAGCAGCAAGAAATGGACTTAGACAATACCCCAAAATCAACTGTGTTCCTATAAATCAGCAATGAGCAATCTGGAAAATAAATAATTTCATTCATAATAGCATTTGCTAAGGACTGAATATGTCCCCTCAAAATTAACATATTGAAGTTCAAACCCCCAATGTCACTGTATTTAGAGATGGGACCTATAAGAAGGTAACTGAGGTTAAATGGATCACAGGAGTGGAGTTCCAATCCTATAGATTAGTATCTTCACAAAAAAACAAAACAAAACAAAACAAAAAAACCGCGCCAGATCTCTTTCTCTACATATGTGTGTCTCTGTTTCCCTTTCCTTCTCCCCCTTACTTTGTCATATGAGAATGCAGAAAGAAGGTGGTCATCTACTTGCCAGTAAGAGCCCTCAACAGTAACCAAACTGGCAAGGACCTTGATCTTGAACTTCACAGCCTCCAGAACTGTAAGAAATAAATTTCTGTTGCTTAGGCCATTCAGCTGATAGTATTTTGTTATAGTGGCTTAAGCAAACTAAGATAGATTTTTTCCTACCAAGAAGTTGGGTGTTGCTTTAATAGAACCTAAAAATGTGAAAGTGGCTTTGGAACTAGATAATGGGTAGAGGTTGAAAGAATTTTGAGGTGCACGCTAGAAAAAGCCTAGATTCCCATGCTAGAAACATGGATGTTTAAGGTAATTCTGGTAAGAACTCAGATATACAGTTGAAGAGAAAACCTCCATCTTCTTAGAGAAAACATAATCATGAACACAATTTTGGTAAATAAATGGATGTTAAAGGCCATTCTTGTGAGGTCTCAGAAATGAAGAATGGGTCACTGGAAGACAGAAGAAAGGCAATCCTTGTTATACAGTGGCAAATAACTTGGCTGACTTGTGTTCTAGTGTTTTTTGGAAGACAGAATTTGTGAATGATAAAATTGAATGTTTAACTGAGATTTTTAAGCAAAATGTTGAAAGTATGACCTGGGTCTTCCTGAATGCTTACAGTCAAATGCAAGAGGAGAGAGATGAATGAAAGAAGAAATTATTAAGCAAAAGGAACCAAACATTAAATATTTAGAAAATTCTCTGTCATATTGCAAAAAATGAGAAAGTATATTCTAAAGAGAACACCAAAGTGTGACTAGACTATCATTTGATAAATAAATTATGAGATTTTACAAGCAGAAACACTGCCTGTTTCAACTGAAGGGGATGCAGACAAGACAAAAATGATGTAAGACTTTTACATCCTAGATTCTACAGGACAGAACAATAGAGCTATCCAGCTGTGAACCTGCACTATTCTCTATGGGAAGAATGATCTCAAAGTAATTCAGATGTTATCAGGGCCATTGCCTAGCAAAATTTGGGGGATGAGACCCTGCCTGGGAGAGCGTGCCTGGCAGAGTGTGGGGAGGGGCACAGCATCCACCTAGGGTCCAGAAGGCAGGGCCACCATCCCAGTAGGTCTGGAAGACTGGGCACTGAATCAAAATGGATTATTCTTGAGCCTTAAAATCTACTGGAATTTGCCTTGCTAGCTTGGGACCTGTCATGTTCTGCCACTGTATTTTGGAAGCAAATAATTTGCCTGGTTTTACAGTTTCACAGCTGGAGAGAAATTTTGCCTCAGGATGAATCATCTCTCAAGTCTCACTCTTACCTGTTTTAGGTGATATTTAGATGAGTCTTTGGACTTCAGACTTTAGAGTTGATGCTGGAATGAGTTAAGACTTTTGAGACTGTTGGGGTGGTATGAATGTATTTTGTATTCAGTAAGGACATAAATTGCAGTGGTACAGAAGTCTGTGGACTGGATTATGTCTCCACAAAATTCACATGTGAAGCCCCAAACCCTAATGGCACTGTATTGGAGATAAGATCTATAAGGAAGTAATTAAGGTTTAAGAAGATTATAATGGCAGGTCCCTTAGCCAATAGGATTAGTATACTCATAAGAAGAGACACAAGAGCTAGTGTGCTTGCACAATGGATTCTTGGTTACGACACCAAAAGCACAGGTAACAAAATAGATAAATTAGGCTTCATCAAAATTAAAAACGTTTGGACACAAGAGGATATTATCAAGAAAGTGAAAAGACAACCTACAGAATGGGAGAAAGTATCCACTAATGAATGATACATCTCATAAGGTCTAATATCCAGAATATATAACTACTCATAACTTCAACAACAAAAACAACTCAATTTAAAAATGGGGAAAGACCTTGAATAGAGAGATCTCCAAAGAAGATATACAAATGGCCAATAACAGCATGAAAAGATGCTCAACATAACTAGCCATTAGAGAATGTGAACCAAACCCACAATAAAAGACCACTACACACCCTTTGGGATGGTTACTATCAAATGAATAGAAAATTATGGTGTTAGTGAAGATGTAGAGAAATTGGAATCCCCTGACAATGCTCTTGGTATATAAAATGGTTCAGCTGCTGTAGAAACATTTGTTTACGGGTTCCTCAAATATTTTCACATAGAATTAGTTTAAGACCCTGAAGTTCCACTATGTTTACACCCAAAAGAAATGAAAACAGGGACTGGAACAAATACGTATATAGAAATGTTCATAGCATCACTATTCACAATAGCCCAAAAGCAGAAACCCAAATGTCCATCAATGGATGGACAGGTAAAACTATGGCATCTAGGTACAGTGGAATTAGTAGCCATAAAGAGAAATGAAGTACTGATACATGCTACAAGGTGAACCTGCAAAAGATTATGCTAAGAAGACCAAAAGGTCACACATTCCATTTATATGAAATATCCGTAATAGGTACCACAGTTTTGTAACCGGATTTGCAGCTTGTGCTTCGGTCTCAGGTTCTTGGCTTCCCTTGCTCGAATAATCGAGCAGAGAGTCTTATCCCCACGGTGTGTGCCAACTCCAACCAAGTGTTCATGGCCCGAGAGAGTGAGCAGCAATGCAGTTTACTAAGCAAAAGAAAGTAAAAGCTTCCAGATCTTGGAAGGAGACCAAAAGGGTTGCCGTTGTTGGCCAGGGCTGCCTGGACTTATATCCTCAAGTAATTTTGAGTTGCTGAGTGTTTGCCCCCTAGTCCTGTGTGGAGAGAGGGCTTGTGACCATGAGTCACCTAATTTTCTCTTTCTGGTGGTTGTTTCCTAGTTTCTGTTGAACTTGCAAGCACTATCGGAATGCGGTTGAACAGCTAAGTGACACTTTGAACACTGCCTTCTGATATGGTTGAAGTACCCATGTTGACCTTTTCCCATACTAGGGTTTCTAGAAAGTTCCCCATTGACCCAAAAGGTTTTATTCCCTCAGTTTGAAATGTGATTGCCATTTGCCAAGGGCTGACTGAGGAAGGAATGGGACTAACCACTTAATGTGTTTGAATTTTATTTTGCAGTGTACTTTAATACATTTTTAATGTGTGCAACCACTACCTCTAGTTCCAACGCATTTTCATTTATCACGGCACTTGGCATTGTGAACAGCAAATAATAAACGCTCATTAAAAAGTTCGCCCCAGGCGGTGCACAACAGATGGCTCATGCCTGTAATCCCAGCACTTTAGGAGGCCGAGGCGGGTGGGTCACTTGAGATCAGCACTTCAAGACCAGCCTTGCCAACATAGTTAAACAGTCTCTACCAAAAATACAAAAATTAGCCGGGCGTGGTGGTGCACGCCTACAATCCTAGCTACTCGGGAGGCTGAGGCAGGAGAATCGCTTTGACCCAGAAGGCAGAGGTTGCAGTGAGCCGAAATTTCACACCATGCCACTCTGGCGTGCGCGACAGAGCGAGACTCTGTCTCAAAAATAAACAAACAAAACAAACCTTACAATGTGTGCTGGTAATGCAGTTTCTGAATGTTTAGAACCCTTCTCTGGGGTGATTTTTAAAAAAACATTAAACTAATGGGCAGTTGATATACTACAGAAGGTTGTACGCATTGCATTGGACCAGTAAATGTAGGTACAGTGTCGCTGTTTTTCCATTCGGATGTGCTAAGCAAAGAGAAAAGCTAGTTTTACGTTTCTTTCACTCTAGAAATTCAACAGGGTCGCTCTTCCCCAAAATCTTTTCTACAAAGTCCCTCCCACTTTGCAGACTCTGACTCCCGGCCTGAGCAGAGTCCCTGGGCCCTACCTCACTGGAGTCTGGCGCGAAACGCGGACTTGAGGCTCCCGGCCGCGGCCCCGCCCTCCAGGCTCCTCCCCTTCCTGCCGCATTTCCCGCCCCCCCGGCCCAGTCCGCCAGTCGGAAGTGCGGCCACCGGAACAGGCAGTTGGTGGGGGTGTAGCATCGCGCCGCCGAAGGGGCGGGTGAGCGTTGCGGCAGAGCTCCCGGAGCAGTCTTAAGGCCTAGCGGCGGGGCGACCCGCAGAGGTGGTCGGCGGCGGCAGGTGAGTGGGACCGGCGAGCTGCTGGCAACGCGGTGGCTCAGGAGCGCGAGATCCGGCCAGGGTCAGAGGTGAGCGGGCCGCGTCCCAGAGCCGGCTGGTGGAAGATGGGGTCCCTAGAGACACGGCGGGCCGGGGCGGGGGTCACAGCAGCCACCCTCCGGGCGGACGCCTCCATCGCCTTTCGTGGTGTGGCTGAGCCGAACTTTTAATTTTAGTTTGACTTTTGCGTTCCAGATACGGGCATTTCCGGACACTGGCAAGAATTTTGCCTTGCGCATCTTCGAAGGCGGTTTCTTGGTGTCCATATTGCATAAAGGCTGGTTGCTCCTCTGTGGAGTTGACGGTTTTACACGTAAAGCCTAAGTTGTGACAAAAGCCCCTGCAGTTGGAAGACTCAGGTCGATCAGGGCAATCCGTAGAATTGATAGCAGCGTTTAAAATTGGATTAATTACTGGCCATGGTTACCAGGCGTTCAGAAATGAACTTGGAGAACAGCTGTCCTGGAAGCTATCTCCCGTGACCACCGCGTAGGGGGGCCGCGTCTTCTTGAGTGCAATACATCAAAGTCTCTAGCAGGACTCAAAATATAAAGTGATGAGCAGGATTTTTGGAGTTAAATTGAGTACACAGTGTTTGGGTTGATCACAATGGTATAAAGTTAGACCAAAATTAAACACATATTCGTCTCTGAGCAGAATCTGGTCCTTATTTTAAATGCTTTGCTTTTTAAAAAAAATGTGAAAACGAGTACTGGTTTGATTAGTTTTAAGGTTGTAATATTGGAAGGGACCTAAGATTTGACATTGAGAGTTCTGAATTCTGATCTAGGTCTGTGATGTTACGAAAGTCAGTTGTTCTGATTGCCTTATTCTGTAAAACGGTGATGATAATGATTACAGTTTTCTCACAGATTCTAATAAATTCTGTATACAGTCAGGATATTTGGTTTGTGAGAGTTTATGAAGTTATTCGTTTTTGTCTGAAGTACTTAAATAATTTAAAGTTAGTAATCCCCCATCCCCAATTTAGTGACAAGAAATCTTAATTTTAAAGTCATCACATTTTGTCCAAAAGTACGTAGTGCATTTTCATCTTCAAATTCAGTGGTAGAAAATTTTCAGCTTAACCTAAATTCAACTTAAAACTCCTCTCAGCTCTTCAAGGGTAAGATTAATATCTTACTCATTGTAAATGATTGTAAATTATTTATAGTTGTATGGTGCTTTTGTTGTATTAGGAGTTTAGCTCATTTTTAAAAATTGTTTAATTCCGCTCCCCCCCCACACACCAAGATGAAGTTCACTCTTGCTGCTCAGACTGGAGTGCAGTGGCGCGATCCCAGCTTACTACAACCTTGTCCTCCTGGGTTCAAGAGATTCTTCTGCCTCAGCCTCCCGAATAGCTGGGATTACAGGGGTGTGCCACCACACCCTGCTAATTTTGTTTTGTTTGTTTTTTTTTTTTAGTAGAAACTGGGTTTCATCATTGTTGGTCAAGCTGGTCTGGAACTCGGGACCTCAAATGATCCATCCGCCTCGGTCTCCCTTACAGGCGTGAGCCACCGTGCTCGGCCAATTTTTATTTATTTATTTATTTATTTATGACACTGAGTCTCGCTCTGTCACCCAGTTAGGTGTGCAGTTCGTGATCTCGGCTCACTACAACCTACACCTCCCAAGTTCAAGCGATTCTCATACCTCAGCCTCCTAAATAGCCGGGATTACAGGTGCAACCCACCACACCTGAGTGATTTTTGTGTTTTTAGTGGAGAGGGTGGTTTTGCCATGTTGCCCAGGCGAGGTCTCGAACTCCAGAGCTGAAGCGATCCACCTGCCCTGGCCTCCCAAAGTGCTGAGATCACAGACTTGAGCCACTGCACCTTGCCTTCTGTATGTTTTTGTAGAGACAGTTTCCCCATGTTACTCAGGCAGGTCTGGAACTACTGCTCCTGGGCTCATGCCATCCGGCAGTCTCCGTCCGTCTCAACTGTTGTGAGCCAAACCCCACCTGGCCCTTTCAGTTTTTTTTTTTTTTTAAACTGGCTTGGCAAAAACCAAAGCTTTGGGGTTCACTGAAAATCAAAGCAAAACTGTTTTACCTGAAAAATCTTGTTTTCTGTCATCAGAATTTGTTCCTTAGCTGTGTAGACACCCAGCTTCACTGGTTACATGAAATTAGGTGAGTAGATTAATCATTTTTATTTATCATCATTCTCAGAGTGTATGTTTTCTATTCATTTTTATTTTATTTTATTATTATTATTTTTTGAGACAGGATCTTGCTCTGTTACCCAGGCTGGAGTACAGTGGTGTGATGATGGCTCACTGCAGCCTCTGTTTCTCAGGCTCCAGTGATCCTCCTGGCTCAGCCTCCTGAGTAGCTGGGACTACAGACGTGTGCCACCATGCTGGACTAATTTTTTTTCTACCCTTAGTAGTGACAAGGTCTCACTATGTTGCCCAGGCTGGTCTCAAACTCCTGAGCTCAGATGATCCTCCCACCTGGGCCTCCCAAAGTGCTGGGGTTACAGGTGTGAGCCACCATGCCCAGTCTTATCTCAGAACAAATGTTATGCACCATCTCTGTACTAGGCAGTGTGAGCTTCAACCCTGGCAGCACGTTTGACTCATCTGGGGAGCTCCAAAAATGGCAGGGGGGATTGGGTCCCTGTGCCTCAATCTAAACCACTTAATCAGTCTCAAGCTGGTGGGTCACAGGCATCTCTCAGTTTGAAGCTCCATAAGTTACTCTTGTGCAGCCACGATGAGAGCTCCTGTAGTTACAAAAAAGAAGGTTTTCAAGAGTGCATAGTTTGCTTGAAGAGGAGATGGGCTGGTGGGATTGGAGCTGCATCTGGAATTTGTATCCTGGGGCATTTGGAGGATACTAATTAAGATGATTTTTTGTTTTTGAGATGGAGTCTTGCTTGTTGCCCAGGCTGGAGTACAGTGATCTCAGCTCACTGCAACCTCCACCTCCCAGGTTCAAGTGATTCTTCTGCCTCAGCCTCTTGAGTAGCTGGGACTACCTACAGGCTCGTGGCACCACAGCCAGCTAATTTTTTGTATTTTTAGTAGAGACAGGGTTTCATCATATTGGTCAAGCTAGTCTCAAATTCCTGACCCCGTGATCTGCCCGCTTCGATCTCCCAAAGTTCTGGGATTACACCGCACCCAGCGGATTTTTTTTTTTTTTAATGCATGACTGTCAACTTTATTCCCACTAGGCAAAAACCAAAAGCAATCTAAATATCTTTCAACAAGTAAATGGTTAAACAAATTCTTAAACATCACACAACAGAATTCTAGGAAGCAATAAAAAGAAAGTAACTACTGACATATATAACAACTTGGATGAATGTCCAGAGAATTATGCTGCATGAAAGAAGCCAATCCAAAAAGTTACAACTGCATGATTCCATTAATAGGAATACATGATATTGTCTAAATGCCAAAATTATAGAAAGGGAGATTAGATTAGTGGTTGTAAGGGATTAAGGAGAAAGAGAGAGGGAAGGAAGCAGGCATAGCTATAAAAGAGCAACAGGATGGATCATTGTAGTGATAGAAATATTCTATATTTTGACTGTATCGATGTTAGTATCCTGGTTATGATATTACATTTTAGTTTGAAGTTAATTGCTTTACAACACCTTTGCAAGAAATTACTTTTGGGGAAAATTGGGTAAAAAGTACATAAATATTATTAATTATAACTACATGTGAGTATACAATTATAACAAAATGCTGATTTAAAAAAATTATTAAAAAATACACATTTCTTGAGATTAGATCTCAGAAGTCATATTGAGTTGGCTACTTATCTCATGTTCTTAGATCTGAGTTGCTGTCTTAAAAATTAATTCAAGTTACTCTTTTAAATACAAAGAAACTCAACACAGTGTAAATTTTTTTTAAATGTCTGAGAAGCTTGGAAATCTTTTTGTGACTGAAAAATTAGCATTATGGGGTTACTCCTACAAAAATATGTATTTTATCTGATGAATTATTTCTTTCTTGTTTCTCTTAATGCAGTACACAGTAAATAGCTGAAAGTACCATACTATATGCCAATTTTAACTTTTTTCCTTTATAGAGATTTATGTTTCTGTTAAGCTATGCATCCATGAGATTTTATTTTATTTTTATTTTTTAAGACATCAGAATTTTAATAATCATTTTAGATAAGTGTACACCTTATTTTTGACACTGCACAAAACTCAAAACATGATTGTTTTTCAAAGTTAAGTTGCAATATGAATTTGAAATTCTATCAGTGAACTTTATATTCTGTTAGTTTAAAATCCATTTGTCTCCCTGCAACTTTGACTCAATCTTTACCTGTGCATAATTTTGAAACATCGTTCATTGGTCATTTGGAAAATTAAATTATCAGAGTTACAAAGATCTTTTCAATGTCAGTACATTTCACTAAACAATATCAAAAAGTCAATTTGTCAATATCACCAGCAATCTCATCAGAAGAAGCCTTTAAATAATAGAAAGCAGTCAAATAAAAGTCCCTTGAAATTATAACCTTATGGGTTCAAATTTTATTATTAGCAGTAAATATGGGAAGCTATTTTTCTTGATGGGCTTACTTTGTTGTTTTTAAGACAAGTACCAAATAGTTAAGTCTGAATATCTATAATTTGCTTATCAGTTATTTTTTCAAGTAGAAATGGAAAAGGCAGCAGATTCATTTGCAACTAAAAAATACACAAGTGCCCTGGAAAAAAACATCATAATTTAGTATTCGGAAATGGTTTATAATTCCCTTCTCTTTCCACAGAATATTAAAAACACATGTACCCAAGGAGTGAGGTCTTTTATTGTTTTTTTTTTTTTTTAGTCAAATAGGCTGAATAATGTATCTTTTTTTTTTTTAGTTAGGTCCTGGGATACATGTGCAGAACATGCAGGTTTGTTACATAGGTATACATGTGCCATGGTGGTTTGCTGTACTTATCAGCCCGTCATCTAGGTTTTAAGCCCTGCATGCATTAGGTATTTGTCCTAATGCTCTCCCTTCCCTTACCTCCCACCCCCCAACAGGCCCCAGTGTGTGATAGTCCCCTCCCTGTCTCCATGTGTTCTCATTGTTCAGCTCCCGCTTACGAGTGAGAGCATGTGGTGCTTGGTTTTCTGTTCCTGTGTTAGTTTGCTGAGGATGATGGTTTCCAGCTTCATTCATGTCTCTGCAAAGGACATGAATTCATTCTTTTTTATGGCTACATGGTGTATATGTGCCACATTTTCTTGATCTAGTCTGTCACCGATGGGCATTTAGGTTGGTTCCAAGTCTTTGCTATTGTAAATAGTGCCTCAATAAATATACGTGTGCATATGTCTTTATGTAGAATGACTTATAATCCTTTGGGTATATACCCATTAATGGGATTGCTGGATCAAATGGTATTTCTGGTTCTAGATCCTTGAGGAATTGGCACACTGTCTTCCACAGTGGTTGAACTAATTTACACTCCCACCAACAGTGTAAAAGTGTTCCTATTTCTCCGCAGCCTCACCAGCATCTGTTGTTTCCAGACATTTTAATGATTGCCATTCTAATTGGCATGAGATGGTATCTCATTGTGGTTTTGATTTGCATTTTTCTAATGACCAATGATAATGAGCATTTTTTCATATGTTCAAAAGGTCTTCTTTTGAGAAGTGTCTGTTCATATTCTTTGCCCACTTTTTGACCGGGTTGTTGGTTTTTTTCTTGAAAATTTAAGTTCCTTGTAGATTCTGGGTATTAGACCCTTGTCAGATGGATAGATTGAAAAAATTTTCTCTCGTTCTGTAGATTGCCTGTTCACTTTAATGATAGTTTCTTTTGCTGAGCAGAAGCTCTTTAGTTTAATTAGACCTCATTTGTCAATTTTGGCTTTTGCTACAATTGCTTTCAGTGTTTTAGTCATGAAGTCTTTCCCCATGCCTATGTCCTGAATGTTATTGCCAAGGTTTTCTAGGGTTTTTATGGTTTTAGGTTTTACATTTAAGTCTTTAATCCATTTTTGTATAAGGTGTAAGGAAGGGATCCAGTTTCTGTTTTCTGCATATGGCCAGCCAGTTTTCCCAACACCATGGATTAAATAGGCAGTCCTTTCCCCATTGCTTGTTTTTGTCAGGTTTGTCAAAGATCAGATGGTTGTAGATGTGTGGTGTTATTTCTAAGGCCTGTATTCTGTTCCATTGCTCTACATATCTGTTTTGGTACCGGTACCATATTGTTTTGGTTACTGTAGCATTGTAGTATAGTTTGAAGTCAGGTAGCGTGATGCCTCCAGCTTTGTTCTTTTTGCTTAGGATTGTCTTGACTATACAAGCACTTTTTGGCTCCATATGAAATTTAAAGTAGTTCTTTCTGGTTCTGTGAAGAAAGTCAATGGTAGCTTGATATGAATGGCGTTGAATCTATAAATACTTCGGGCAATATGGTCATTTTCACGATATTGAGTCTTCCTATTCATGAACATGAAATGTTTTTCCCTTTGTTTGTGTCTTCTCTTATTAATAAGAGGGTTTTTTAAATCAGCAGACAGGATTATATCTGTGATTTGTAAAGTGAACTGTATAGTCATTAAGGCCAGTGGGCAGGCTATTAAAATAATCCAGAGGAAAAATGAGAACAGCAACAGTGGCGATAGAGAAGAGATTTAAAAAATGTATTTTTTTCTCTCTGGGGATGTTAAATATTTTTGAAGAAAGAGAGTAATAATTTTAAATTGCAAATGTGTTTTGCCTTACCTAGTTATAACTACTTTTCAGCAGTGAGTGGATAGGTTGTGGTACATGAATTTTAATGTTACACATTATTTAAAAGTATCTTAAAAATATATGTGCCTCAAGTAATTTTCCTGGTTAATTTCTAAATATGTAATCTCATTTTTTTCTCTTAATAGTGTTATGTTAATTTTGGGTTTTTATTGTTTTTGTTTTTCAGTACTATAAGATTGATGTTAAAGACATGGTGTTCACCCCACTGCATCAACATACATAAGTTGTCTCTTCTTTTGGACCCCTATTTTATGCCACAATGGTAAGCTTCAGCTTAGTATATTCAAATTGGTGTTTTAGAATGTTCTCTTCCTTCATCTTCATAAAGATATTTGTATTATAGATGTAGAAATACTCTTGTAAGTTGTACAGGTTATCACAACTGGGAAGTTACTTAGCAAGCACATTGCAAAATCTTCTCTATAAAATATGTGGCCCACTAATCTGTGTTATAATTATCACATTCATGTTACACAGATAATCCATGTATCTGTTCTTGTATTTACAAAGTATTAAAAGTATTTACTTCTATTTTGCCATATTCCAAATCATTGACAAGGAGATGGGTATAAATACAAATAGTTTGGGGGAATATAGATTTCTCATATTTTAAAGCTTTTCTTTAGATTTTATTAAAATTTAAAAACAAACATAACCTGCTTACTGCATATAACGTATTTCAGGCAGCATCAATGCTAATGGCATATTTCTGTTCAGTGACCTACAGTCACTAAACATACTTAAGAGTAGGCATTTAACTTTTTCCATTAAGAAATGACAGACTGAGGGATAAAAACACCTTTCAATGTTTTGAGGAAGCAGCAGCATTTGAGAGAGAATAACTGAACATTGACCACCATGTTATTCATTTAGATAATCCCTTTTCTGCAGCACAAATTTCAGAAATTTATTTTTCTTCTACTCTTGGGTTCTTACCTAGCTGCTCCTCCCCTATTAGGGAAAAGTAGAAATAACCACAGTGGGGTTCCGACCACACCTTCTGTTTTGCATCTGTATGACCTAATCATTTTCCTCTTAACTTTTTGAAGGAAGTAATGAATGAATAATGCTTTTGTTTATATATGTAGGCATATCTCACTAGACTCTTTGAAGTTTTAATTTCAGAAGATGAAATATTTACTTGAGATGACTGGCTGTTTAAAATTGTCTTAAAGTACATATTTGATTGTGTTTATTATAATTTTTTGTTACAAACTTAAAAGTTTTATGGGGCCGGGCGCGGTGGCTCAAGCCTGTAATCCCAGCACTTTGGGAGGCCGAGGCGGGTGGATCACGAGGTCAAGAGATCGAGACCATCCTGGTCAACATGGTGAAACCCCGTCTCTACTAAAAATACAAAAAAAATTAGCTGGGCATGGTGGTGTGTGCCTGTAATCCCAGCTACTCAGGAGGCTGAGGCAGGAGAATTGCCTGAACCCAGGAGGCAGAGGTTGCGGTGAGCCGAGATCGCGCCATTGCACTCCAGCCTGGGTAACAAGAGCGAAACTCCGTCTCAAAAAAAAAAAAAAAAAAAGTTTTATGGCCAAAATGTATAAGAACCTTATGTATTTGTGAAGTGTATATGTACAGAATTATGTTTTCATGGTGGAAAATGAGTTATATTCAGGAATCTTAACTTGAATCCTGGGAACCAGTTTCACTGGGAATCTGCTCCTTATAAGATTTTTTTTTTTTTTTTTTTTTGTAGAGACAGAATCTCACTATATTGTCCAGGCTAGCCTTGAACTCCTGGCTCCCCTCCTTGGCCTTCCAAAGCTTTAGGATTACAGGCATGTGCCACAGTGCCTGGCCAAGATTTTTAATAAAGCAAATTGGTGTAGATTTTTATAACTGAATCTTTTGAAAAGATGGCAGATTTCAGGCTTTCTTCACTTATGATATTTAGATATTTGATAATATGGGTTGTATTTTATTGAACAGTGCAAAGAAGCCCACTATTTTTGGAATCATACAAATTCTCGATCCTTAAGACCAGGTGGCAGGGTCACTTAAAAGTTCCCATGATTTCCAGAGGGTGGCAATATTTGTTCTTCCCCCTACCCTCCTGGGACTTTGGTGGATAGTAGGAGTTTTTAACCACATGTACCTTGGTAGGTTGAGGTATTGGAATCTGCAAAATAAGACAGAAGAATTTAGGTTCTTTTAAATAAAAACTGAAAGTTCTGTGCCTCTAAATAAAATTTAAAAATGACTATCATTGTGAATGAAAAATACTGTAAAACAAAAAACTAGGAAGAGAATCACTGGTGGTATATTTGGGGTTTTATTTTTTTGTTTTTGTTTTGTTTTTATTTTTTGAGATGGCATTTCGCTCTTTTTTGCCCAGGCTGGAGTGCAATAGTGTGATCTCAACTCACTGCTACCTTCATCGCCCGAGTTCAAGTGATTCTCCTACCTCAGCCTCCTAAGTAGCTGGGGTTACACGCATGTGCCACCACACCTAGCTAATTTTGTATTTTTAGTAGAGACGGTATTAACCATGTTGGCCAGGGTGGTCTTGAACTGCTGACCTCAGGTGATCTGCCTGTCTTGGCCTCCCAAAGTGCTGGGATTATACGCGTGAGCCCCCACGCCCAGCCATATTTGTTTAATTTTGTTTAGAACCTAGTACTTTTATTTATATATGTCTTTGGAAAAGAAAGCTTTACAAATGAAGACATAGCATAGCTTCATCATATTTTTTCCTCATCTCTAAGAAATGGATGGAGAGGAACCTACTAGTAGATCTCAAACCTTACATGTAGTACTATATTTCATCAATACTGAAGTTCATTTTCTTTTGTATTTTTACATTGCAAATTGATGATGATTTGATACTCAAAGATGTCTTAACAATTGACAGCATTTTTTTTCTGTCTTAATGTTATGCAAAATAATGAGCTTTCAATGGCATCTTAAATTCATTGAAACATGGCAATAATAGCCATCAAAGTTGACGTTTAGTGCCAGTACAACCTACTCCCAATTTTCAGGATTTTTAGCAGATTAGGAGAGTTTAGCTTTTGCTTCATTTTGATTGTGTACTTTATGGCCAATATATTTCCTTGAATGGTGCTATTAAAAATTAAAGACTGTGAAGTGATGATAGCTGCCATATCCAAACCTCCTCTGTTAGCCTCACAAGCACTGACCAGAGAGACCGTGTTAGCATTCTTACTTAGTTTGTTGTTGATAATCAAGTGCCCAAGACTCATATATTTTCTTTGTTATGTATGTGGATCATAGAGTGGAGTGGAGGAGACAAATAAAAATATATTAGACCTGTTTTTAAAAACATTAGAAATGTTAAATGTGTATTAAATTATTTTTTGTGGAAATAACTAATATTGCCAAATATACTATTTACTTTTTACAGCAACAAGCTTTAGAACTAGCTTTGGATCGTGCAGAGGTGAGGTGTAACTAAGTTACATATTGAAATAGTGTTGTCTTTGGCAAAAGCTCAGTTTTAAGAGATTTCTGTATGTGATTTTTAAAGGAGCACATTATTATTTATTTTAGGACAAGTATGCATATCATTTTGCTATAAATATGTAAAAATACCAGGTGGTATTTGGATCACCTGTTACTTGGAATCCTCAAGATAATAATGCTATGGAATAAAACTTGAACAAGGATATAGAATTTAATTGCCTTTTCCTGTTTTCACAGTTTTTCTAATTACTCAAAGGAAAAAATAGCTAAGATGTACAGTATATGATTTTTCATACATTAAGCATATTTTGAACAACCAGAAAATATATTGAGAATATTTCTGACCTGTGAAATCATGTTTGTGAAACTATGGTTTTGCTTATGGCAATGAAAACTCTGCTAAATTGTAGTGCAGTTTAAATTTCATTTGTTTGAAATTTATATTTAGATGTTAAGTAGCTTTTCCTACAAAATGTAATTCAGAGACTTAAGTGACTGAATAGCCTTTTTTAGCCTTACATATGTTTTAGATATACTCAATACAGTTGTTCATACTCAAAAGCAAAAGACAAGCTATTCTCATAAATTTTTGTTTTTTTAGTATGTCATTGAAAGTGCCCGACAGAGACCTCCTAAAAGGAAATATCTATCAAGTGGAAGGTATGAATAATTAATTGGTAACCTCTTAGATTCATTGAAATATGATGATAGCTACCATTTATCACATTCCTGGTAGGCACTGAGCTAGAAATTTTATAGGTTATTTGCATGTATTAGGAATTTCTAAGTTGATGTTAGCTACCATATCCAGCTCCACCCCCGCTTTTGGGAAATTGAGGAAAAAATGTTAATATTTAGGAAAAAATTAACATTCATGTCATGATGATTACTGTATTAACATTTTGTATGTTTGTTTCTTTAAATTTTTTTAGAAAATCTGTATTTCAAAAACTTTATGACTTGTATATTGAAGAATGTGAAAAAGAACCTGAGGTTAAGGTAAGTGTACATTTTTATTGTGTTGTAGCTTTTGAAATGTAGAAGAGGAGTTACAATTGGAGCATTTCGTTATTGTGTGTGTGTGTACTAACATCTTTTTTAACCAGACTGTAGTCAGTTCTACAGCTGACCCAGAGCTCTGGCTAATCTGGCACCAGGCAGAAATCACCTGCTGAGGTAGGAGTGGAGGAACAGTTTATTGAGTAACAGTCTGTCTCACTAGGAAGTCATAAGCAAAGCCACAGTATATATTATCTTTTACGTCTTCTTCCCCCTAAGAAGTAATTTATAAACTTATAGCAAGAGAATAGTAACCTGTTTTCTCATGATGATTTGAACTGGGAAGCCAGAGTTATTACAGGACATGTAGGAAATTCAAGTACAGTAATAAAAGGTGAACTTGGTCATAAAACAAGTTCATGGCCAATTTAACTTAATTCATTTTTATTTGGCATAAAGATATGGGTAGTAGAAATGTAACAGAAGTTGATTTATTGATGTCTTTGAGCCCTCAGGTTGGAAGGGCCTTAAAGGTCTCTATGAGCTTTTGTTATCTGTCTTTAAAAATGAATACAGTTTTACTAACCAAAAACAGTGGAATTCCAGTAGTGTCTAACTTTAAAATCTTTACATTAGGAAAAAAATTATTTTTAAACTTATAAATAAATCGTTTTTAAATTTTATTTTACTTTTTTAATTGAGACAGAGTTTTGCTCTGTTGCCTAGGCTGGAGTGCAGTGGCGAGATCTTGACTCACTGCAACCTTTGCCCCCGGGTTCAAGTGATTCTCCTGCCTCAGCCTCCTGAGTATCTGGGACTACAGGCTCGTGCTACCTGACTAATGCCTGACTAGTTTTTTGTATTTTTAGTAGAGACAGCGTTTCACTGTGTTAGCCAGGATGGTCTCTATCTCCTGACCTCTTGATCCACCCACCTCAGCCTCCCAAAGTGCTGGGATTACAGGCATGAGGCACCACACCTGGCAACTTATAAATAAATATTATGGTATGTTTTTCATAAGTTTTGCTGAGGTATACTTGACATAAAATAAATTATACATGTTTAAAGTATATATTTTCTAAGTTTTGACATATGCATTATGGATAGAAACACCCCATGAAACCATCATTACAATCAGTATAATGTACATATCAATCACTTCAGTGATGGAACTAAAATAGGAGAGCTACATATATGAAGATTCTAAATTGGAATTGTCAAGCCCCTCTCCACCAGCTAAATGTGGCCTACTCCATGTTTTTATGAATGAATTTTTGTTAGAACCCATCACATCTGTTGGTTTGTGTATTATCTAGGGCTGCCTTACAGGTACAAAGGCAAATTGAGCATTGTAGCACAGACTATTTGGCCCACAAGTGTCAACTACTATCTGGCCCATTAAGAAAGAAAATTTGCAACCTCTAGTCTAAATGAGATCAACTCTGTAGTAGCTAATTTGTTTTGTTGAAGAGATACACATACTGTAAAAATTTATCTAATTCTGTCTGAAGTCAAATTATGAGGGTTTTCTCTACACTGAAATAAGATTTTTAGTCTCTTTACTAGTTTAACATCTAAGTGGTTAAAAGTTATTTACCTTTTAAAAAAAAAATTTCAGATTGCTTAGTGTTTTGATCTGTGGTGATGACAGATTAAGAATTTATCACTTCTCTCTGTATGTGTATTATATGTTTAATATATATTATATAGAAGATATTCAAAACATTTCTTTTTTTTGAGATTCCGCAAAAATATTCTGTTGTTATTTTTGCTAAATAGGATTTGATGAAAGGATTTGTTAAACCTATAAGTGGGTTTTATTTTAAATCGTATACATTTTTTTAAATCACAGATTTGTGTTGTGGTTTTTAAGGAGGTGTTGAATTAGATTTATTGAAAATATCCAAATTGCTTACTTCGTCTTACAAATTAGATATTTTTAGGGAGCATTTCAGCTTAGAGCTTTTGAACTTGTTTCTGTCTTATTTAGCCTATAAAATATTTAAGAAATGTTCACTTCTTAGATACAACCAAAAGAATGCTCCAAATTCTTTAGGTTAGACTTACACTTAATGGAAACTATATACTTCCGTGTTTTATATATTTGCATTTAGTGATTTTATAGTCTACTCATTTAAATATTTATATTTCTTAAGTATTCAAAAGTGCTTATTTGTTTTTATTGTCTTATAGGTCACCAGTTTTTAAAATATAAATTAATTTGCATAAAACATAGTAGTAGATAAAAATTAAGTTTACATAGCTGTCCCATACATAGTGGCTATAGTTCTGTGAGCCTTCCCCATTTATTGAGGGTCATAATATGAAAAGAGCACCAAAAGGTTAATTCAAGCCTGATTTTGTTAAATCGTAGCATTATTTGTTAAGGTTATACTGAATTATTTTCATGAACTCTACCTCTTTTTAAAGCAGAAATTAAGGAGAAATGTGAACTTGTTAGAGAAGCTTGTTATGCAAGAGACTTTGTCGTGTTTAGTGGTCAATCTGTACCCAGGAAATGAGGGATATTCTCTGATGCTCAGGGGAAAAAATGGATCAGGTAAGACCCTCCAGAGCACAGCTGCCACAAAATACTTTTCCAGGCAGGATGTGCTATAAAGTAGTTTTTTAACCAGCTAAAGCATTTGTCCTTCAGTTCAGTGATGACTTAGTCATAAAAACAGATTTTGATACCAATTTTCTTCTTTAAGTTTTGTTAGAATGTTAGAAATTATGTCTGATGTAATTAGCTTTCCTGAATGTGCATTTTAAAAGTATTCTAATCGATATATCTTTGAAGTCAAATTACAAAAGCATCTCAGAACCAAAGGAAAGGTTAAAGCAAGGAAAATTATAAAAGCATAGCTTATAAATGATTATTTCCTTTTATTTTATTGCTATTTGTATTTTAAGATAGTATACTGTGTTTAAAGGTAGATATTCCTGCAGTTTGAATATGAATCTGAAATCTTCAAAATTAAGCAGACTTGCTGCCTTTTGAGTAATTTTCACATATTAAAAATATTTTATTAGTATTGAATATGAAAATTTCTGTTAATAGTGAATATGAAAATAATTTTAAAATATACTCTTCCGTTTCACTAAAGAGGCATAACAATTTGACATGATGATAATGTGAATTCTACAAGGAACTCACATAACTAGAATTTTGTGTATGTTGATAATTGTGAAGCGTAACACCAAGAGAATTTTGTTCTAAAAGTGACCACTTCAGATAAGGCACCAAATTGTCACTCTGATTTCCAGATTAGATTAATTGGTCTTCAGTGAACTTTCAGTTACTTTGACATTGGAATTTTATCATATTCTGGTTATTTTGCTTTGGGCTGTGATTCAGATTGTGACGTTATGTCAAATTTTTTTTCATAATGTGGTAAGTTTTTTTTTCCTCCCCTTAAATAAAGATGGACGTTAGGAGGGCCTTTTTGTTTTTTTTTTTCAATCCTTGCTTTGTTGAAATACCTTTTGGTTTTATTATATATGTATTTTTTTGAAAAACCATTTGAATTATACAGCTAAGCTTTCAGTGAGCCTGATCATTTTCAAACTTTATGTTTTAAATTAAGATTCTGAGACCATACGACTGCCCTATGAAGAAGGAGAGTTGCTTGAATATTTGGATGCAGAAGAATTACCTCCTATTTTGGTTGATCTCCTAGAAAAATCTCAGGTGCAAAATTTTTGTCTTTAAAATGTCTTTATATTTGTTGTAAGTATATGATACATATACATATACATCTTGCATATATGATACACATGCATATGTCATATTAGATGTATGTATACATATATGTTATAAATGACTATATGATTCTTCTAAAATAGTTAGAACAATTTAGCTCATCAATTGGAAATCTCCCTATAGTTACAATCAAGAAATTATGAAAGAAACTGCTTTGAATATTTATGAAGTTTTCACTTGGGGGCCAGAAACTGGCCTTTACAAGTGTACCTCTCTTCATAGCCCGCCAAGGTAAGCACTCCCTCGCTCTGTTCTTCTTCCTTCTTACTGCCTTAACTTAACCCCGGTCATACTGTGTACTCGACTGAGGAAAAAGAAGCCCTCACATGAGAACTCTTGTTTCCTCCTAGCACCAGTCGACTAGCATCCCTACATCTCTCTCCATATCTGCCTGCCTTCCTGTTAAAATAGTTGATGTATACTGTTTGTAAGGCACCCATCCCCTCCACTTGTTTTCTGAATTCTCCCTTCTCAAGGGCTTAAAATTATAACCTCTCTTTTTTCTATCTATTTCTCTTTCTCTACTAAATGCAGAATGCAAGCATACTGTGTTACAGGTTGAGTATCTCAAATCTGAAAATTTGAAATCACAGCGTTCCAAAATCTGAGCACTGACGTAACACTTAAAGGAAATGCTGTTTGGAACATTCCAGGTTTCAGTTTTTTTTTTATTAGGGATGCTTAACCTAAGTATAATGCAAATATTTCAAAATCTGAAACATTTCCGGTCTCAAGCGTTTCAGATAAGGGATACTTAACCTGTGTGTCTCCAATTTAAAAAAAAAAATCCTTCCTTGACCTCATGTCCTTCTCCAACTACTGCTCTATTGTCCTGTTATTCTTGTCAGCAACACTACTCAAAGAATTTATAGTCATTTCCTTTTTTTTCATATTCCGTTCTTTCCACCATCCATCTCATTTGGCATCATGACATCGTTCTGCAGAGGCTGCTTTTGTGTCAGAGTTACCAGTGATTTTCATATACTGAATAATTGGTTACTTTTCTGTTCTCTTCTTAATTGGCCTCTTAGCAAAATCAGTGGATGTAGCTACATCTTGCTTGAAATGCCTTTCTGTTGACTTCAGGGGCATCATTTTCCTAGTTTTCCTCTGCGTTCTCTAATCCTTCGGTCTTTTTTACTATAATTTCTGTTCCATTTTTTTTTACTGTAATCTCTGTGTTTTCAGAGATCAGTCCTTGGCCCTCTGTTTTTCTTTAGGAATATTCTCTCTCAATGATTTCAGCCAGTTTCATGGATTTTTTAAATGTTACTTAGTCTATTGCTTATATGCTTCACCATGGCCATTCCACCAAGCTCCTAACTTACTTTATTTACTTGGATATATAATAGGTTCCTCAAATTTAACATGGCAAAAACAGAACTTTTTATTTTACCTCCCAAACCAGTTTTGTCACCAGTCTCTTCAGCCTAACAGATTACCCTATCCTCACCTTCCACGTTCAGTTCATCAACAAATACCAGCTCTCTCTTTAAGATACATGGTCAAGCCCAGTGCTCTGAACAAAGCCCTTGCTTTCCTGTTTGTCTTCATCTTCTAAATCTCATCCTCACTCACTACATTTCATCCCTGCTTGTTTTATTTCCACAATAAAACACTCCAAGCTTGTTCCTACAGTAACAGGTTTTCATCTGTTATTCATCTGTATGGAATGATCTGTTGCTGATGTCTCTGGCCTTTTCTTGTGATTCAGATCTTAGGTGAAACCTAAGGTTTTTATCTGTATGTACAATCCAGATTAGCCCTTCCCTATTTTATTTCTTTTATAGACTTCATCACTATCTAAAATTATTTTGTTCTATTTACATGTTTATTGCCTGTCTTCCCACAACTGAGAGCAAATGTTGTCTGACCACTGTATCTGTGAAGCTGTACTTGGTTAGTGCCTAGCACATAGTACGCATTGTAGTTTCTCAGTAAATATTTATTAAAAAGAATGACTTATAACATGGAGACCAAAGTATTCACTAAAAGTTCTGAATGGGTGAAAAACATACTATGAGTGACTGTGGCAAGTCATAATTAGCAAAACTTCAGTGGCAAGAATTCCTACATTTGGGCATAGAAAGGACTGTAAAACTTTTTCATTTGAATTTTATATTTAGCTTTCCTCTTATTAATAAAGGCTAAGGGCATAGCTTTTATTTCTGGAAATTTTAGCAAAGCAAATATAGAAGTTATATCTAGAAGCTGAAACGCTGGCAAGGTTGATTGGCAATTTATGACAAGGATAACCTTTTTAATAATGACAAAGTTAGCGAAATGTAACAGTAAGTCAATGAGCTTCAGAATAACAGCCTTTCCAAGAATCTGTAACATAATAGTAGTATGTAAATGCCAAAAGTCAAACTGTTGACTCAGTAGATGCCAAGTCAGTCTATAACTAGAAGCTATTAAATAGTTTTAAATTGCTTCTTGTGTCATAGTGATGAACATAAAATACTTCCTCTGAAAAAGTTTATATAGTGTTAAATCTACCAAGGAAATCTATTGAAGTGTACATACATGAGTGGCCAGAAATATCACATGAATGTAAAGAATGTGAAATGTTTGATATAAACCTACTTATTTAGGCTTTTAAAAAAATGATACTCACATTTTTACTCAAACAGGTTAACATTTTTCATTGCGGGTGTGTCATAGCAGAAATACGTGACTACAGGCAGTCCAGTAATATGAAATCTCCTGGTTACCAAAGTCGGCACATTCTCTTACGTCCAACAATGCAGGTAAGGATGTTTAATTAAGAAATACTATTTTAGATTTTAGTTGCGAGTTTTATTTATGGAATGTCTTCGTATGTTTGTGCACAGATTAATGAGTTTTTTAAAAATTTTTATTTCTTCTAGACTTTAATTTGTGATGTACATTCAATAACAAGTGATAACCATAAATGGACCCAGGTTAGTTGTTTTTTTTTTAATCATTCAGGTTTCTAAATCTAGCCTAACCTATCTTTCTTTGTTATTTGTACTGATTGCCTTGAAATGAGGGGAACTCTCTTACCCCTAAGAAAAATCATTTAACCCTCCAGTTCTGGCTCAGTAATATATGAGGGGACTTCAGAAAGTTTGTGGAAAATTGGAATTAAAAGAAAATGAAAAATATAAACTTCTCCATATAAGCTCTGTCAAGTTCAAGACACTTGTAAATGATATCAACCATTTAGTCCACCCCTAAAGAATTGAGGGTCTTGGGAATTAAACCGTATCAATGCAATCTTTTTTTCATTATTAACTGAAGAAAAATAGATCCTTTTTAAACATTTTTTTTTTTAAGATTAAGAAACAAAAAGAAGTCCAAAGGAGCCAAATCTGGACTGTAAGATGGATACCTGATGATTTCCCATCAAAACTTTTACAAAATTGCTCTTTTCTGATGAGAGGAATGAGCAGAAGCATTGTTGTGGTGCAGATTGAATCTGGTGAAGCTTTCCTGGGCATTTTTCTGCTGAAGCTTTGGCTAATTTTCTCAAAACACTCTTATAATAAGCACATATCATCATTCTTTGTTCCTCTAGAAAGTCAACAAGCAAAATGCCTTGAGCATCCCAGAAAACTGTTGCCATGATCTTTGCTCTTCACCTGTCGCTTTTGCTTTGACTGAACTAATTCTGCCTCTTGGTAGCCATTGCCTTGATTGTGCTTTATTGTTTTCAGGATTATACTGGAAAGAATGCTTTAGTATTTTGTTACTCCTTGTTGAAAATTTCTGTTGAAAGCTCTGCTTTTGGCAGCTGATCTGGATGTAGTGGTTTTGGCACCCAACAAGTAGAAAGTTTACTCAACTTTAATTTTTCGGTCAGAATTGTTCAAGCTGAACCAGTTTAGATGCATATAGTGTTGGCAATTGTTCTGCTGCTAATCACTGGTCCTCTTCAATTCGGTTACAAACGAAATGAATTTTTTTCCTTGTAAATTGATGTGGATGATCTGCTGCTGCAGGCTTTATCTTTAACATAGTCTTGTCTTCTTAAAACAAGTAACCTATTTGTAAACTGCTGCCTTCTTTGGGGCATTCTTCCCGTAAACTTTTCATAAAGCATCAGTGATTTCATGATTCTTCCACTCAAGCCTCACTATAAATTTGATGTGTGTTTTTACTTCAGTTTTAGCAGAATTCATGTTGCTCTGGTAGAGCTGTTTTCAAAAATGATGTCTTATCCTTCTTAGTGTTTCAAACTAGGTTCTGTTCAGACAGGTTATAACAGCTTAGTACATGTTTTATTTTGGTCCAAAAAGTTTTGAAACCTATGTATAGTTTTTTCTTAATACTCATTTCTTATAAACTTTTGTAAGACCCCTTGTATATGAGATGCTCACTTACAAAAAAGTTTTCAATTCTGTGACTATAGTGAGGAATAATTACAAAGTCTAAGAAAATATCAGTAATGGTAGTTATCTTTCTGTGTTATGTGATTATAAAGTAAGCTTCAGTTCATCAGTAACTGCTAAGTATTGTGTTTTAGTTTGGGCCATAATCTTGTCATCTACCAAAAGATGGAAAGCTATTAAAAGAATATTAGAAGACAGAAAAACTCATTGGTTACCATCAGAGTTTGCTAGGTCATCAGTTTCTTACTGTGAGGATTAGTAAAAGAGAGAATACAGTATTTATTCTGCCATTCTCATTATTAACTGTATTTTAGGCAGCCAAGTAACTGAGGGAAAATTCTTAGGAAAATTTCCAGCTAAAAGGTGCAAAAGAAATGATAGACTTAAAAAAAAAAGTTCGAAAGTTTTAATGGAGTAATGAATCTGGACAGCAGTAATTCTTGGATGTGAAAACCATTAGTTGGTAGGTTAATGGGAAATTTTACAATGCAGAAATCTAAACCCACAATAACTGGGACAGCCAGTTATTGTGTACCATTTGGCTTGATGCAAGAGACAGTATATAACAGTGGTAATAGCACCAATAAAGAACTTCCTGTCCAAAAAAAAGAGAAAGAGCCCATATTAAATCAATTCTCTAGATATAACTAGCATTTTATAGGAATTCAGTGAATAAAATAAACTCTTAAGTGACACAGCAAGGAAGCAACCAGGCAGATCTACTGACATGAGAAAGCAATTGGTCAATTCTAACAAATTCTTATTTAGCAATATTATTAATTGATTCACTTAAAAAAAATTAGTCATAGCTATCAAGATACTTCAGAGGTTATGCAAATAATAGGATTCAGTAGGCTGGGCACGGTGGCTCACGCCTGTAATCCCAGGACTTTGGGAGGCCGAGGTGGGTGAATCACGAGGTTAAGAGATCAAGACCATCCTGGTCAACATGGTAAAACCACGTCTCTACTAAAAATACAAAAAATTAGCTGGGCATGGTGGCACGTGCCTGTAATCCCAGCTACTCAGGAGGCTGAGGCAGGAGAATTGCCTGAACCCAGGAGGCGGAGGTTGCGGTGAGCCGAGATCACGGCATTGCACTCCAGCCTGGGTAACAAGAGCGAAACTCCGTCTCTAGGGAAAAAAAAAATATATAGGATTCAGTAAAGTACATTATGTGATAACAGTAAAGAGCCTGTATATACTTTGGAATTGAGTATATAGAGTTCACACAATATTAGCAGAGTCATTTTTATTCTTGTAACGTAGTTAAGCTGAATATAGAATGGGACTATTACTTTGCAGTTAACTGAAAAATGCCATAACCGTTTATGTCCCTATATTTGTGAGAGCAGAGGATTTTGTTCTGTTTACCACTTTATCCCCAACTCCTAAAAGGTGCCTAACACAGTATACGTGCTCAAATAGTTTGTTGAATAAATGAGTAGCCACTCTTACAATCTGAGCATTTCATACTCTACAAATTATAGGCATATCTCAGAGATATTATGTGTTTGATTCCAGAGCACTGCAATAAAGCAAATACTGCAATAAAGCAAGTCACATGAACTTTTTGGTTTCCTAGTGTATAAAAAGGTTACATTTACACTATGTAGTTGACATTGAACAACACAGATATAAGGGGCAGTGGCCCTTGTGCAGTCAAGAATCCACGTATAACTTTTGACTCCTCTAATACTTAACTGCTAATAGCCTCCTGGGAAGCCTTACTTGTTTTTGTGTGTTGTTTTTTGAGGCAGAGTCTCACTCTGTTACCCAGGTTGGAATGCATTGGCACAGTCTCAGCTCATTGTAACCTCTGCCTCCCAGGCTCAAGTGATCCTCCCGTCTTAGCCTCCTTAGTAGCTGGGACTATAGGTACATGCTACCATGCCTTGCTAGTTTTTTTTTGGTAGGCACAGGATTTCACCATGTTGCCCAGGATGATCTCGAACTCCTGAGCTCAGTTGATCTGCCCGCCTGGGGCTCCCAAAGTACTGGGATTACAGGTGTGAGCCACCATGCCTGGCAGTTAACATTTATTTTGTATGTTATATGTATTGTGTTCTGTATTCTTACAATTAATTACTAGAGAAAAGAAAACATTAAGAAAATCATAAGAGAAAATATATTTACTATTAATAAGTATATCATATTAAAGGTCTTCATCCTCATCATCTTCACATTGAGTAGGCTGAGGAGAAGAGGAAAGGTTCATCTTGCTGTCTCAGGAGTACAAAGAGGTAGAGAAGATGGAAGGGGAGGCAGAAGAGGCATGCACACTCGGTGTAACTTTTATTGAAAAAACTCCTGTGTAAGTGGACCTTGATAGTTCAAATCCACATTGTTCAAGAGTCAACTGTACTGTAGTCTGTTAAGGATGCCATAGCATTATGTTTAAAAAAAAAAAATCTATATGTCTTAATTTAAAGATACTTTATTGCTAAAAAAAATGCTAATGATCATCTGAACCTTCAGGGAGTCATGATCTTTTTGCTGATGGAAGGTATTGCCTGGATATTGATGACTGCTAACAGATTAGGGTCTGACAGACCGGGGCAACCGTGGCAGTTTTTAAAAATAAGACAACAGTGAAGTTTGCCCTGCTGATTGACTGTTTTTTTCCTTTCATGAAAGGGTTCTCTGTAGCATGTGATGTAATTTTACCCTGCAGTAGAACTTCTTTCAGAATTGGAGTCAGCCCTCTAAAACCCTGCTGCTGCTGTGTTGTCAACTTAAGTTTATGTAATAGTCTGAATATTATGTTGTCATTTCAGCAATGTTCACAGCCAGGAATAGATTCCATCTGAAGAAACCACTTTTGCTGGGCACGGTGGCTCAAACCTGTAATCCCAGCACTGGGAGGCGGAGGTGGGCAGGTCATGAGGCCAGGAGTTCAAGACCAGCCTGGCCAATATGGTGAAACCCCATCTCTACCAAAAATACAAATATTAGTCGGGCATTGTGGTGGGCGCCTATAATCCCAGCTACTCAGGAGGCTGAGACAGGAGAATTGCTTGAACCCAGGAGGCAGAGGTTGCCGTGGGCGGAGATCGCGCCATTGCACTCCAGCCTGGGTGACAGAGTGAGACTCTGACTCAAAAAAAAAGAAAGAAACCTTTCTGTGCTCATCCATAAGAAGCAACTGGTTATCCATTAAAGTTTGATCATGAGATTATAGCAATTCAGTCACATTTTCAGGCTCTACTTCTAATTGTAGTTCTCTTGCTAATACCACACCTGTAGTGATTTCTTGTCCTGAAGTCTTGAACCCCTCAGAGTCATCCATGAAGGTTGGAATCAGCTTCTCCCAAACTCATATTAATGTTTCTATTTCGTCCCCTTCCTGTGAATCATGCATATTCTTAGTGACATCTACAATGGCAAATCCTTTCCAGAAGGTGTTTAATTTACTTTGCCCAGATCCATCAGAGGAATCACTCTCTATGGCAGTTAACGCCTTACAAAATGTATTTTTAAATATTAAGATTTGAAAGTCGAAGTTACTCCTCTATCCATAGGCTTGCAGAGCGGATGTTGTGTTGGGATCTGTGAAAACATTAATATCCTTATATATCTCCATTGGAGCTCTTGGGTGACAAGGCCATTGTTAATAAACAGTAATATTTTGGAAATCTTTTTTTGTGAGCAGTAGGTCTCAGTAGTGGCCTTAACATAATTTGATAAACGATGTGGTACACAAATGTGCTGTCATCCAGGCTTTGTTGATCCGTTTATGGAGCACTGACAGAGTAGTAATTCTTAAAGTTTCTAGGATTCTCAGAATATTCAAACAAGCATTGGCTCCAGCTTCAAGTCACCAGCTGTATTAATCCCCAACAAGAGAATCAGCCTGTGCTTTGAAGCCAGACATTGACTTCTCTCTAGCTATGAAAATTGGATGGCATATTCTAATGTAAAGCTGTTTCATTTAATTGGAAATACTGTTGTTTAAGGTAACCACCTTCATCAGTTATCTGAGATCTTTTGGATAACTTGTTGCAGTTTGTATATCAGCACTTGCTGCTTCACCTTGCACTTTTATGTTTTGGAGACAGCTTCTACTGTTAAACCTCCTGAACCAATTTTCTGCTTCAAACTTTTTTTCTGCAGCTTCCTCACTGCTCTCACATCATAGAATTGAAGAGAGTTGGGATTTTGCTCTGGATTAGGCTTTGGTTTAAGGAAAGTTGCAAGTAGTTTGATCTTCTATCCAAACCACTAAAGCTTTCTTTGTATCAGCACTAAGGCTGTTTTGCTTTCTTACATGTTATGGATGTTCACTGGAGTAGTGCTTTTAATTTCTTTTATGAACTTTTCCTTTATATTCACAACTTGGCTAACTGGCACAATAGGCCTGACTTTCAGCCTGTTGCAGCTGTTTATAGGCCTTTCTCATTAAGCTTAATAATTTCTAGCTTTAGATTTAAAGAGAGATGTGTGAGTCTTCCTTTCACTTGAACACTAAGAGGCCATATTTTGCCTAGGAGTAAAGAGTCCTGAGAAGAAGAAGAAAGACAGGGTAGGGACGTGGCACATGGGAGTGGTGGATCAGTGAAGCTGCCAGAGAAGATACATCATTTCTTGATTGAATACACTTCAAATATCACAGATCACCATAATAGATTTAATAATAATGAAAAAGTTTGAGATACTGAAAAAATTACCAAAATGTGACACAGACACAAAATAAGTGTGTGCTGTTGGGAAAGTGGCACTGGATAGGCTTGCTCAATGCACAACTGCCACAGATCTCCAATATGTAAAAAGTGCAATATTTACAAAGCACAATAAAATGAGGTCTACCTGCATTGAATTTCCATTAGAAGTTTCTTGGCTGGCAGTGGTGGCTCACACCTGTAATCCCAGCACTTTGGGAGGCCAAGGTGAGTAGATCATCTGAGATCAGGAGTTGGAGACCAGCCTGGCCAACATGGAGAAACCTTGTCTCTACTAAAAATACAAAAAAAATTGCTGGGAGTGGTGGCGGGCTCCTGTAATTCTAGCTACTTGGGAGGCTGAGGCAGAAGAATTGGTTGAATTGGGAGGCAGAGGCTGTAGTGCGGCGAGATCATGCCATTGCATTCCAGCCTGAGTGACAGAGCGAGACTCTGTCTCCAAAAAAAAGAAAAAGTTTATTTATGTTTTCTGGTTTCTAAAGTTTATGTGCACACTAACATTGGAACTTGAAATACCATATTTTACTGTAGTCCTTATCAGAATTCCAGGGAGTATTTGTAGATTAAGTGCTATATATAATTACATATTTGAAAATCTCAAATCTGGTATTGACATATGCTCTTTCCTGCACATTTCAGGAAGACAAACTTTTGCTTGAGAGCCAGCTCATCCTAGCTACAGCTGAACCACTCTGTCTTGATCCTTCTATAGCAGTCACCTGCACTGCAAACCGACTGCTCTATAACAAGCAAAAGATGAACACTCGCCCAATGAAACGGTAATTGTCTTTGTGGAAGATTAAACCAAAAGTAGCTCTAACTTTTGCTATTTATGGTATCTTCTCCCTTCAAGGTATAGTTGCTCTGATTTTGGTGGGGAAGGGTAGAAATGGGATCTCTCTTTGTTGCCCAGGCTAGTCTTGAACTTCTGGACTCAAGCGATCCTCCAACTTTCCCTTCCCAAACAGCTGGGATTATAAGCATGACCAGCTGTACCAGCCTCTTATTTTTATTTTTTTGAAAATAGCATTTTTTTTTAAACCTTACTTCCTTTTAGTCATTGCAGTGAAAATAGGGTTTTTAATGGTCTTGTATTACATTTTCTTACATAGTATTTTGATTTTTTTTTTTAATGCTGTCTGCTTTAGATTGAACTGATGAATTTTCTGCAGTCTTTTACAGAACAAATTTTCTCTTAGGTTTATATAGCCTATTTGCCAAAAAGGTAAAGAAGCTGAAATCAAATAAGAACTGAAAGAATAATTTTTTCATTACTTTCCTAATATCAAATGATTAATCTAATTGTTGTTAATCTTACTTTTAAAGTAAGAATTTGTAATTTATTTTCGAGATTTGAGAAAATATGATTATAGTTTTAGAAGTCGATTAGTTATAAACTGATTCTAGGCACATCTATCTTTTTTCTGTTTTTGAAACAAACCAAGTTTATGCCTCCCTTGGCATCTTTTAAAAATATCCCTGCTTCAGATACTCATTCCCTGATTTTTCAGAATATTTCCTTTTCCCTACCTTCTGTGGTAAACATGAGGGGATTTTTCCCCATTAGTCACTGGGAGAACCTCTTTGAGCTCCTGAAGATAAAACCCCCTAAAATGTGGAGGCTCCCAGTGACTAGATCACCCAGGAGTTTTGAATCTCTCAGACATGTCCACACTAAGCCTCCAGCAATTCATCAGTTATGCTTGAGGTTCCCTACCCCAGCATTGGTTCCTGAGGAGGTTTGTGCTGATGGGTTTCTGCTTTAGCAAGCCATGATGCTCTGCATTTGCCTGTTGGTTTCTCCAAGTTTGGGGCATTGGTTTGTCCTGTGACCACACCATTTTTATGGATCTAAGAAAAATTGTTAATTTTTCTGTTGATTCAGCTTTTTACTTGTTAGGATGAGGTGGCAAATTCCAGAGTCTTAATGCCTGTACCCGAAACTGGAAGTTATCCCCTTCATACCCATCTTTCCATAGCTAGTCGCTTCTTATCATTCCTGTCTCAGCTCACATGTCGTTTCTTCAGACTCTTTGCCTTCCTTCCCTCTCCTTGCTCTCTTCCCTAATGTTGCCCTCCTTACCCTATACTCTCCAAAGTACTCTGTTTTTTCTCTTACTGCTTATTGGTATCTGAAATCTGAAATTATTGTATCTGTTTACTTGTGAATGTCTCCTCTCCCTCTAGACTTGATAGCTCTGTGGTAATGGGAATTTTGTTTGTCTTAACTCATTTTTATTTTGCCAGTTCCTAGGACTGTGCTTGGCATGTGGCAGTGTTCTGTAAACATGATTTGTACATATTCGGCGCTGACTAGTTTCAACTCACATATGAGTTTCTTTTATTAGTGCCATTTAGTTCAAATCTCTTAATATTATTTCAGGTGTTTCAAGAGGTATTCCAGATCCTCTCTGAATCGGCAGCAGGATCTATCTCATTGTCCACCTCCTCCTCAGCTGAGGTTACTTGATTTCTTACAAAAAAGAAAGGAAAGAAAAGCAGGTCAGCATTATGACCTCAAAATTTCTAAAGCAGGAAATGTAAGTATATATTTTTTAAATGAAGGTTATTATGCCAAAAGCCTGTCTTATTTCAAGTTTTCCATTTCTACTGTTTTTAATTTTTCAGTGTGTAGATATGTGGAAACGGAGTCCCTGTAATTTGGCCATACCTTCTGAAGTAGATGTAAGTCAGTTCATGAATTGCTTTTTTCATATAAAGTTCCTCAGTTTTGCCATTTGGTCGCTTATACTTTGAGAAAACTACAGAAAACTGATTTCTTTTAAAAACAGTGATTTAGATGATATTGTAAAAAAAATTTTTTTAACTATATGATTTATTTCAAAAAACATTGAAAAATGGTTTTTAGAAGCTGTGTATTATTCTTTTTTCACGTTAAGTTGAAAGAACATAACCCCTTAATATAGTCGTGTTTGGAGCGGGAATGGCAAACAAAACAATTTAAAAATGTGGAAAAATATAATGTATCTTACATAATCACATGAAATCTTTTTTTCATATTTCTTCATAATTTCCTAATAGTGCTTGTTTCCTCAAAGTGGTTAATTTTTTAGTAGTATTCAGTAATACTACTCAAAAAAAATAATAAAGATTAATAATACTAGAGAAGTGACCAAGATTATGAACATTTCTGCTGTATTCTTTATTGATCCATAATGTGCATGAATTATAAATGGCTTGAAGACAGAAAAGGGATATGTTGATGAATGATCCTATGTTTTTCCTTCTCCTGTGTTTTTTATATGCACTCAACTCTTTACACTTGTTATTTTCAGATCTGTTCTTCTGTTGCATCCTTTCCATGCTAGCACATGCATTATTCTTACTATTTGTGATTAAAAAAAAAGAAATTGTGCAAAGCACAATAGACTGTATATACAACTCAAAGAAGTAAGCCATATTATCTTTTGGTAGCTTATGCACTGTTCTTCAAGGAACATGGCCTGAGAATAGAATTTCATTGTAAACACAGAAGAGTGGAATTTAGCTTTGGAGGGCAAGCTGGAGTACTTCCCAAACTTTAATGTCCTTACAGAACACCTGGAGAGCTTGTTAAACTGTAGTTTGCTACCCAGCAAGTCTGGTCTGAGTCCTAAGATACAGTTCTACAAGCTCCTAGGTTATCTGATGCTGGGGTCCATGGACCACAGATTGAATAGCAGTGCCCTAGAACAAAGCTTCTCAGTCTAGCTCAGTCAGAAGAATACCTAGGGTATCAGTTAAGCATAGAGATTTCAAGCCCTATTCAAGATCTACTTACATCGGATTTCTAAGGGACAGACATGAAAATCTGTATTTTTAATAGGTGCCCCAGGTGAGTCTAAGTTACTGTTAATATCATGGTTGCCAGTAAGTTAATATTTGACTCTCACAGATGCCTAGGACATATACAGAATATATGGCCCAAGTCTGACTAGAAAGTGGAAACGGGTCAAAAACTTTTATCAGCTTTTAATATTTTACCTTCCCTAGACTCCCTTAGTTTGGTGTTTTAAACTACTTAAGCGTAAGTAGTTGATATCAGTGATTTAAGAATTCTTGCACTAACAAGTATAGTGAGTGAATTGTCAAGTAACTTAGTTTCTTCTCTTTGGTCAGAATACTGATTCTATTTTATCTGATATGGATTCTATTTTATGTGATATTTCTTGATTTGATTGTTTAGGTGGAGAAATATGCTAAAGTGGAAAAGTCTATCAAATCTGATGACTCACAGCCAACAGTCTGGCCAGCCCATGTAAGTAATCATTGCCAGCCTGTGTTTCTAATGATGCCGTTTCTAATCTGGCCTCTGAATTTACTAAACATAAAATGCAATTGCCATTAGCTTGGGACTTTTTTCTTTTTTAAGTAATTTTCTGGGAGTTCAGTGAATTACAAGAAGAAACAACTATTTTGTTTACCAAAGTACACTTTGCATTTTAAAGAGCAATTTTCTTTTTTTGAGATGGAGTTTGGCCTTTATCACCCAGGCTGGAGTGCAATAGCATCATCTCAGCTCACTGCAATCTCTGCCTCCCAGGTTCAAGTGATTCTCCTGCCCCAGCCTCCTGATTAGCTGGGATTACAGGCGCCTGCCACCACGCCCGGCTAATTTTTGTATTTTTAGTAAAGACAGAGTTTCGCCACATTGGCCAAGCTGGTCTCAAACTCCCTATCTCAGGTGATCCACCTGCCTTGGCCTTCCAAAGTGTTGGGATTATAGGCCACTATGGCTGGCCTTAAAGAGCAATTTTAATGAAGAACTTCATTTTTACTTTTGGTTTGCATATTGGTAGTTCTGATTTGTTTTGTTTCAAATTAATAAATTCTTCTAAGGATCCCTTTTAACAAAAGTATTCCTCATAAGTTTTCCTGATTGCAATAATAATGTCTTTAAAAAAGAGAAATAGGTATAATATTTACATTAGGTGAACCCTAGGAGTGAGGTGACGAGAGATGTTTTTTGTGTGTGATAGCAAAAGCAGACAAATAGAAACAGATCTGCTTTTGAAAGTTCTATCCTTTTAATATTATTTAATATTTGCAATTCATATGTCTAGTATGAAATTCTACTCTATTAAGTTTGATTAACTAAACATGCCATTGGAACTCTCATTCCCAAAGTACCATGTAAAAAAGAATTTTGTACTGCCCTCCTGAGTACAGACAGGCAGGGCAGCATGAGGATCAGGGGGTGCAAGCTGAGATACAGACTGCTAACTCCCTGTGTGAACCTAGGCTAGTCATTGAACCTCTCTTTGCTTAATTCCTTGACTTCTGATATAGTGATAATAACAGTGCCAACCAGAAGAATATGATGAAGCTTACTTGAGGCAGTCCCTGTAGAGTGCTGAGAACAGTGTTCAATAAGTGTTCATTGCCATGATTTCCAATATGTATATTAGTATGTCTCATAATATATTTAATGATGTGTTAATATTGTTACATGCATGTACATACTTCATAGTATATGTTAATGCTTTATTAAATGCATACTGAGTGCCCATATAGTTTTTAAGAACCATGCTGTGCTTTATTCTCGTGGGCAGTCTTAAACATCTTTGTAAGCTAAGTGTTGTGTGTCTCCTATTGTCAGATACATGTTAATGTGTCATTTATTTCTGATTTTTACTAATTCTTATTGCCTACTTGCTTGTGAAGGTATTTATTTGGGGTGATATGTCTTTTTCAGGATGTAAAAGATGATTATATATTTGAATGTGAAGCTGGCACTCAGTATCAGAAAACAAAGCTGACCATCTTGCAGTCACTTGGAGATCCACTTTACTATGGTAAAATACAACCATTTAAAGCAGATGAAGAAAGTGATAGCCAGATGTCTCCATCACAGTGAGTTCGGTTAAATACAAGTAACTGAAAAAAAAATAAGGCACCAAGAATTTTATCGAGTAACTAACTACTGATGAACCATTAATCAATAAAAATTTCTCTTTGGGAATTCACTTACTAGTTAAATATAACAATTAGATTTGGCAGTAGACCTAAGTAAACTTAAATCATAATTACCATATTGCTCATAAATCATAATTACCATATTGCTCAAGAGTTATTAAAAATAAGTTTTTTAGGCCGGATGTCGTGGTTCGTGCCTGTAATCCCAGCACTTTGGGAGGCTGAGGCAGGCGGATCACAGGGTCAGGAGATCGAGAACATCCTGGCTAACATGGTGAAACCCCATCTCTACTAAAAATACAAAATTAGCTGGTTGTGGTGGCGCGGGCCCATAATCCTAGCTACTTGGGAGGCTGAGGCAGGAGAATAGTTTGAACCAGGGAGTTGGAGGTTGCAGTGAGCTGAGATCACATCATTGCACTCCAGCCTGGTGACAGAGCAAGACTTCGTCTCAAAAAAATATTAATAATAATATATATTTTTAAAACCACCTGTGTTTATTTTTATGCTTGTTTTGAAGGCTATTCCTGTGATATCCTTCTTTATATATTTATCGCACTTAAGACTTTAACCTGTCTGTGAACCTGAAGTGTTTGGGCAATGGTATGTTTAAATAGGAAGCAAGTTTACTATAAATGTAAAAAGATACTTGGTATTTTGGCACTGCATGTAAGGACACAGACTCAATGCTTAATGTAGTTATTGGCCCTACATGTTAATATACATACATATATATATGTATGTGTATATGTGTGTGTGTATATGTGTGTGTGTGTGTGTGTGTGTGTATATATATATGTATGTGCATATATATATATGGAGAGAGAGAGAGAGAAATGATCTTCCAAAATGTATGAACTACATATATTTGGTACTAATAGTATTTAATTTTATTTTAATTGTTTTTGTTTTTTTAAACCAAACTGATGCTGTTTTGAAAAAAAGGGGAAAAAAAAACTCAGCAGAAAAGGTCGGGGCCAGGTCTACGTTAAGTGTAAAGCCTTTACTTACACAAAATACTCATTGAAACTACAGTAGAAAGGTAGATTTTTAAAGAGCAACCCCACCAATATTTAGGTAAAAGTCAATGAGAGGAAATAGCAGGGAATCCTCAACTTATTTTTTCACATGACCAGTTTTTATTATAAAAGGATTGAATATTTTGATTATATACTTTTTTTAAAGTTATATACATCACAGTAGTTTATTTCTGAATATTCAGCTTGCATTTTTAAGGAAGCCATTTTTTTCCTTTATTTTTATTTTAGATTTAGGGGTTATGTGTGCAGGTTTGTTTCAGGGGTATGTTGCATGATGCTAAGGTGTGGGTGTCTGTTGAGCCCATCACTCAGGTAGTGAATATAGTACCCAATATTGATTACTTATATTTATAAAAATCTTTCACTTAAAGACGATATACATTGGCCATTTTAAATTTATTAACTTTTATAGAAAACAAGGGTGATATATGTTATGTCATGAAAAAATTGGTCTATAAAGCCAAGTGACTAATTTGTTTGACAGGAAGAAAATTGAATTTTTTACCTTTACATCAGAGTAGCTGCATGATTTATTATCTTCCAGTCATTCTTCCATACTCATAAAGTATTTAATAAATTATGAAGTCAAAGTTTGAGCTGCATTAACTAAGTTTTTTTTACATTTTATATTTCAGCTCTTCCACAGATGATCATTCAAATTGGTAATTAAAAAATAAACTATTTTAATCTGTTAAGAGATTATATCAATGTCAAACTCTTTAAAAAGACTTGCTAAAGTTATTTTATTCGAATTGGAGATAAATATGTATACCTTGTTTGAAATATATTCTAAGGATCTGTTATGTAGACATTAATAGTAACTTCTAAAATTGCAGGTTAAAGTGAGAGGAAGGCCAAAGACCTTTGCACATGGTAGTTCAGTGATTTCCCTGTAGGGCCAATAGTTGTAAGGGTATATAGCACTGTAACTTTCAGCCCAAATTATGTTTTAATAAATAAATTTTGTGCCAAAAGAAAGTCCCTTAATTATATCAACCAAGTTATTCACATTATTTCATAATGCATGCAAAACTTAGTCATTGTTTTATATGTTTAAATGCAATACAGTTTTTTCCACATCTTGATAGATTTAACACCAGTTTATATTACTGTGACTAAAACATGGAAGATTTCAAAAGTAATCCCAAAGCTCCTTAAGACAACTTTTACCTAATTCTTTTCTCTCCTTTTTTTTCCCTTAAACATTTTAGGTTCATTATTGGCTCAAAGACTGATGCTGAGAGGTAAAAATACTTGCATCTGTATTTTTGGTCAGGATGGATATGAAAAATATTTTGCATCTGTATTTTTGGTCAGGATGGATATGAAAAATTTTTCACCCTTATAGGTTAGAGAATACTTCACTAAGAGTTAAAAACTTTGATATATGGTTATGTATTAACCATATATACAATATTTATGGGCCCCTTGTAAAATTAGGGCATTGGACAGTAAAATCTCTAAGGTCCTTTCCAAATTTAAAACCTTATTGATTCTGGAAAAATGTTTAAAAGCTTATGATACACCAAACTATTAAGATTGGTTCTTTTTGTGGGATGAGATTTTGGGGGGAATTAAATGCATTTTTCCAATGCATTATAATACCTAAGATGTTTTTTTCATATAATTAAAGAAACAAAAAAAAATGTTTAAAATATAGTTTTGTTTTAAATAAGAAAACTTAGATACACTTACTGTAGCTAAGGAAGATGATTTCTAGATAGTACTTTAATCAGAATCTAAGAAGGGAAGTGAATATTTTCTTTGGCTGCTTATTACTTAAGTAATCCCTGCAATTTCTGTATTATAAATAAGATATTGAAAGTATATCTTTAGATTGTTATTTAGCAAAATGTTTTAGACAATTTTTCCTTGAACAGATTAAAATTATGTACTTTTAACACGAAGACAAATTGCCTGATTTTAATTTATATGTCAATTTTGACAGAACCTTTTTTTCTCCATTATTATTCTTTCCTATAAAATAAATTTCTGTTTAAAACTGGTTATCCAATCTTTACCTGTTTTCTCTTGATATTTTAGGGTAGTCAACCAGTACCAAGAATTAGTCCAGAATGAAGCTAAATGTCCGGTCAAGATGTCACACAGCTCCAGTGGCTCAGCCAGCCTGAGTCAGGTTTCTCCAGCGAAAGAAACAGAAGTGTGTTTCATTAATGTTACTTCTTTGGCCCAGTTGTTTCACAAGTAATCCGAGAAATGTTAAGAATCGTTTTTTGAGGCCGGGCGCGGTGGCTCACACATGTAATCCCAGCACTTTGGGAAGCTGAGGCGGGTGGATCACCTGAGGTTAGGAGTTTGAGAGCAGCCTGAACAATATGGTCAAACCCCATCTCTACTAAAAATATGAAAATTAGCTGGGCATGGTGGCACGCACTTGTAATCCCAGCTATTCAGGAGGCTGAGACAGGAGAATCTCTTGTCCCCCAGAGGTGAAGGTTGCAGTGAGCCGAGATTGCACCACTGTACTCCAGCCTGGGCGATAGAGCGAGACTCTGTCTCAAAAAAATGATCATTTTTTGAGGAGTGGAGGTACTGTTTAGTTTTGTTTTTACTTTTGCCTTTTTTTTAAATTTAACTGTAATATAATTTTTAAATGTACACAAAGATAAAAGAAAAATTATAACGAATACCTGTGTTCTAGTTATTTGACTTTAACAGCTGTTACTTTTCCTTTGATAGGCATGGAAGGGTGGAAGCTTTGTTTTCATCTTACTCCTCTGCCATTCTCCCTAAAACTCTTTCTTCCCACCCCATTACTCAGAAATCTTTTCCCCATTCTTTATGTGTACTGTAATATATTTCATGGGTCTTTGTGTGAAATTTCCTCTGTAATACATGTAGTATTCAATCTAACTACTAAGAGCACTTCGCAGAGTTAAAAATTGTGTTTTTATCTGAGGTTTATAGCAGTATTTATTTTAACAAGTATGCTTAATGTCACTGTCTTTCAGCAAACTGAAACCGTGTCAGTTCAGTCTTCAGTATTGGGGAAGGGTGTAAAACATCGACCCCCACCAATCAAACTTCCCTCAAGCTCAGGAAATAGTTCCTCAGGTATTACATTTCTTAGTTTTCTACAGTCTAGAATAAGAAACATTATATAATCATAATCTCTTTTTAAAACTTTGCCCCCATTTTGATTTCTACAGTTCACAGAATTTTGAATTGTAAATTTAGAAAATAACTTTTATGTTCTTCTAGGTAACTATTTTACACCACAACAGACAAGCAGCTTTCTCAAATCTCCAACTCCTCCTCCTTCTTCTAAACCATCAAGTATTCCTCGGAAATCATCTGTGGATCTCAATCAAGTTAGCATGCTTTCTCCAGCTGCCCTATCACCTGCCAGCTCATCACAAAGTGAGTCATAACTAATTCTTCATTAAATCTTCATAAGCTTTTGCATTAGTGTTTCTTAAGACAGCTTTTTTCAACCTGTGAAGCAGTGATATCTGAATGTACTGTGTACCCAAAATGTATAAGTTGCTAGAAGCTGCAGGCAGAGCTCTTGTTGATTGTATGTATTATGTCTCTATTGTAATTGTACTTGTTTTTCTGTATATATGTATGCATTCTGCGTATACCTTTCTTATAGACTTGCAACCTACACATCTCCTTAAAAAAATAATCTAGTAGTTACATGTGGCAATAAGATTTCAAAATATTTTTTATTCCAGTGTACCCTAGGAATATTTTACATATTTATGTAAATTGTGTGGCTGATATGAAAAAAAATGTCATAATAGTTGTTGCTGCAGGTCCTATCTTTGTATATGTAAGAAGTCAACTAGTTCCAAGGTGGTGATACAATAAACTGAAAAACAATATTTCAACAACACTCCTACACTCTTTTATAAATTGTTGTCAGTTACTAAAATGTTATGATCATGAAGCATTATTCTGAAGATACTGAAATGTGATTTTTACTACTGAATACTTTTTTTTAACATCAAGAAGAGTTTTACAAGAATGCTAGCATTAGTTTGGGAGAATTTCTTCAAATTAGTAAATATCTGAAAGGTACCAATTTGGGGAAAAGAGTCATTTCAGTTTTTTAGATTTTTTGTAGATAGCTAATATATGCTGAAAGTTTTAGTACACTGCACAGTGATAGGGTGGTCTTCGCATTAGATATAAACATCTTTATCTTGATAGCTCAAAAGGTGTAATTTTTCTGCCTTCTTGTTTTGCACAAAGAAAAATATATAAATTTTCTGAAAGTCTTATTCACACTTCTTATGTTGTGGGTATGGATTATGGTAATCTACTGCACACAGTTGTTACTTTAAGTAAGGGTTGAGTGACAGCTTCTGGACATTCACATTTCTTTCCTTTCTTTCTGCAGGACATGAAAGCTAAAAAAGAAAACACCTCAAGAGCTTTTGGTTTTACTTTTTTGGTTTTTGTTTTTTGTTTTTGTTTTTTTAAAAAATTGATAAACTGTGCATACTTCATTCACAACAGATTTTCTATACATTCTACATTTAAACAGAAGTACACAGTTACTGTTAAAGATGCAGTATTATCTATCAGATATTTGCTTTATTACTGTTTTTTATAAATTTGTTTGTCAGGATAAACTTGATGTGTTAGGAATTAAACATGTATATTTAGGTGCCAAATATGATTGTTAACCATATGTAACTTATTAAATATGTTCACAGTTTATCTCAGACTTTTACACTAAAGAAGCAATATTTTTAAATGAAGTCTTGAATTAATGAAATAGTAAATAACAAATTAATTTGAATTCCTTTTGAACTTTTTAGGCCAAGGGCAGCATGTAGGAAACTAACTTTTAAATGGGTATTGTGGTAGAATATAACTGTATATTTATACTGTTACTGCAATGGCATCTCTAATGGGATTTTTAGGTGATATACTGCATCCTTAATTGTAATTGAGTGTAGCAACACTCATGTATCATGTGTAGAAATTAACACTTGCAGTTAACTGCTTTAAAAAAAAAAAAAACTAGAACAAATTGTCAGTGCTAAGTAAGATTCCATTAACCTTATTTTAAAAGGACTGGCCATTTATAACAAACTAGCAATTTTTATTTTTCTCAATGAGCAGGATCTGGAACTCCTAAGCCATCTACTCCTACACCAACCCCTTCATCGACCCCACACCCTCCTGATGCTCAGAGCTCAACTCCTAGTACCCCTTCAGCCACCCCTACTCCCCAAGATTCAGGCTTCACCCCTCAGCCCACTTTGTTAACTCAGTTTGCTCAGCAGCAAAGGTCTCTGAGCCAGGCAATGCCTGTAACAACCATTCCTCTTTCCACCATGGTAACATCTATAACTCCAGGAACCACGGCCACCCAGGTCATGGCAAACTCTGCTGGACTTAACTTCATCAATGTAGTGAGCTCTGTTTGGTAAGTTTGCATTGATGTCCTGATTTTTTTTTTTTAAAGAATAGTTTTACCAATCTAAATTCTTAATTTTTGAAATTAAGAACAAACTGCATATTACTCAGACTGAACAGGAATAGTTTAGATATGGACAGAAGCTGCCTGACATGTATGTTTTAATTTTAAATAATACATTTGTTAACTGCACAAAGATGATACCTCATCTTGTTTTTGTTTTTTGGTACTTCATCTTGATAGCAGCTTAGAATTTCCTGTTTATCCTCTGCATTACCATCTCTGAAATTTAAGACAAATAAATAACTAGTTGTGTTTGCTTAGTAGTATGTTTTTTAATCTGAGGAATTATGTGGCTGATTTTTTTTTCCTTTTACAGTGAAATTTAATGCTTTGTCTTATTCTCCTGCAGTGGAGCCCAGGCTTTGATGAGTGGTTCAAACCCCATGCTGGGCTGTAACACTGGTGCCATAACTCCTGCAGGAATAAACCTGAGCGGCCTTCTACCCTCAGGAGGTCTGCTACCAAATGCATTGCCCAGTGCAATGCAGGCAGCTTCTCAAGCAGGTCAGAATGTTGGAAATAACCTCTAAAAAAATTAAAGTATATGCTAAAGTAAAAATGTAATTTTAAGAGTAATGCTAAAGGCATTTAATGTCATTATTTCATGAAGTATTATATCACAGGTATTTCATTTCAAAAGCCTTTAAAGTTCTGATATTTGATTTAAAAGCCATCTAGCAATCAACTTCTATGGAAAACTTGGTAAGCCTTTGAGTCTGTACACATCTTTCTTTTACTTTCCAAATAACAAAATCAATTTTGGTAGCCTTATTGTCATTGTAGTTATATTCCAGGGAAAATAACTGTATTTTGAAAATATACATTGTGCACAAGAGGCAACTGCATTGCAGTTAAGAGCCTGGATTCTGGAGCCAAACTACCTCAACCTGAATCCCAGTTGTGCAACTTAATTTGTGTAATCTTGAGAAAGTTACCTTTGTGTCTAATTTTCCTTATAAGTAAAATGGGAATAGCAATAATAACTTATAGTCATGAGGATTAAATGAAATATAATACAGATTATGTGCTTAAACTGTGCCTGAGACATAATAAGCGTTCTTTTATTTAGGAGTAGTTATTACCTGTACAGAACAGTTATAATAACTTGTGCTTATTTTTTTGATGCTCTTTAAAAGAATGTATTATAATATCTTGAAACAATTCAGTTTCTACTGAGGAAACATTTAATAGAAAAAACAATCTAGAAAAACTTACTAGAAACTTTCTGTGACTTATGAGAAAGAGAACCCAGAGAATATAATTAAACACGTTAACATGTCGCTGTAATTTCCTAATTCTAGCTAGTGTTCTTATTTTAGTAAGCATAAATGTGTTTTAGTGGCAAAAGTCCTGGAAATGGAATCACATCTTGAGTTTAGGATATTTGTGTGTAATTACCAGTTGTACCGGTTACACGTGGCTTCAGTTGCTAAATTGGGGCTTTACAGAAGTCACTACATTTTTCTCCTTTAGCCTCAGTTCAGTTCACTCTAAAGTGGGAATAAAAATATCTTCAGTTGGTACTTAAGAGAAATAAATTAAGTATGAAAGTGCCGAAAGCTAGAAAGCATTATACAGATGTCATCCACTTTTAAAAGGGAGTTAAGCCATTTTTTTAAATGAGAATTTTTCCAGAAAGGGATATTTTTGCCAAATTTCATTCTGATTATACTTTTTGGTTTCTTATACAAGGCTTCGCTAGTATTACATGTGCATTTCTTGCCTCAAATTGTTTTTGAAAATGATCTGATAGAGAACTAGATACATGTTTAAATAGTGTTCAGATTGGTATATTTTGTTAGTAAGCAAAATATATACATACCTTGAGACCAAGGTAAGCAAACTACAGCACACAGCCTAAGCTAAGAATGGTTACTACATTTTTAAAAGGATTGTAAAAAGAAGATGTATCAAAGGTCATTTGTGCTCACAAAGCCTACATTGTGGCCCTTTACTGAAAAAGTTTGTCACCACCAGCTTTAAGCTATGCTCTATGTTATGTTACATAACAGATTTTTTTAGGAATAAGTTCAGAATTAACAGAGCACTGTCTCCTAACTCGCAGTTTTGATCCTTATACACAAATTGCAACATTCTTTAGCATTCTGATTAGCATTTGTAGTCCAAAAAAATAGCATACAGCACACCAGTTCTTAGAGATAGGATTATTATAGTGTACTATGTAGCACTGAGAAATGTAAATAGATGCCAGTACCTGGAATATATTTGCACAATAGTGCTAGTTTTATTATACCCATGGTGTTCACATAATTCTTGATGACTCTGTTCAGCCAACAGAAGAATGAAAAAGAAGTCTCAGTTTCTGAAATAGAGAATATAATGTACATCTGGTGCTTCACAATTTTGAATAAAATCTCAGGATTGATAAATATTGAAAAAAAATTTTATTGTTTTTAAGATATTTTTGAAGTATGGAAAATAAGCATATCTGTGCAGAAAGTACATAAGATTATTATATATACTAAAGTATAAATTATTTTCATGTGTAATAAACCTTCAATTCTGTTATAACCATGCATTTTATTTAACAGGTGTTCCATTTGGTTTAAAAAATACTTCAAGTCTCAGGCCCTTAAATCTACTCCAGGTAAACCTGAAATACTGCTTTTGATTAAATTTTTTATACATTGACTTTTTTTCTAAACAATGTGTATATGTATCAGCACTTGAAATTCTGAGGTCTATTTAGAATCTTCTAAGGGTGTGGTTATTATTGCTACCTTTGTATGATCAAGTGGATAAAAAAGAATCAGTATCCTATATACCACGCTTTGGCTCCAGTAGCCCTGCCTAATTATGAACTAGCTGTGCTAGTGGGGAGAATTTACACCTACCAGGGAGGATGTTTGCCTACAATAATAGTAGTGGGTATATTTAGAAAATAACTGCTTTCCCAACAGATATTTTATGTGTACATATATGTAATACTGTTTTTTGTGCTTGAAGGAGATTTTAAAAATAGGTATGTGGCTCACAACTATAATCCCAGCACTTTGGGAGGCCCAGGTGGGTGGATTGCTTGAGCTCAGGAGTTCAAGACTAGCCTGGGCAATATGGTAAAACCCATCACTACAAAAAATTAGCCAGGCATGCACCTGTAATCCCAGATCCTCGAGAGGCTGAGGTGACAGGATCACTTGAGCCCAGGAAATCGAGGCTGCAGTGAGCTGACATTGTGTCACTGCATTCCAGCCTGTGCAGCAGAGTGAGTCCTGTCTCAAAGGAAAAAAAAAGGGGGGAGTGAATTTACAACATTCCTGGTCTTATGCCAGGTCCTCTAATTTAAAGAAGGAGTAAGCTATTAGTGTAGTAGTTTGGCAAATAGATAGACATGAATATAAAGATCTGTATATATGACGTAGCAGCGCTATGGATTGATGGGAAATGACAATAAAAGATCAGCCACCCTGGCACTCAGAAATAACAGATTGGGAAATTCTCATTAGAGCTAAAATTTAAAACTTATTGCTTATACACAATGCATGTGTTTGCAGACAGTAATTGCATAACAATGTCTTATAATATGGACAAGCCCACAAATTGCATTTGTTTAGCCTACCTTCCGGCATATTGCTTGTGAAATTTTCTTAGAGATCAGTGTCAATGTTAACAGGAATGGAAATCCTTTAGTTTGTTGTATTTTTCTATATTTATTATGTACTGATTGAGGATGGAACATTTGACCTATGCTATGTCCACATTTACCTAATGAGCTGTGATGGATATAGATAGATACTTTGACCCAAGGATTTTTTTTTTTTTTTTTAATATGCTATACAGGCCTAAGAGTTCTATATTTGGTATTTTTTTGGACAAGGACCTCAAAGTGGTCCATATATAAACCCCTATAGCTTAAAATGGAAAAACTTATTTGTTTTTTGGTATATTTGAAAAGTATTGTTTTTCTTTTTAACCTGGAGTTTTATGAGTGCTTCTTAAAAAATTCTTTTTTAAATTTGAATTAATTACATTCAAATTACATTTCCATTTTAAGCTATAGGGGTTTATATATGGACCACTTTGAGGTCCTTGTCCAAAAAAATACCAAATATAGAACTCTTAGGTCTGTATAGTAAAAAAAAAAAAAAAAAAAATCCCTGGGTCAAAGTATCTACCTATATCCGTCACAGCTCATCATTAGGTAAATTTGGACATAGCATAGGTCAAATGTTCCATCCTCAATCAGTATATAATAAATGTAGAAAAATATAATAAACTAAAGGATTTCCATTCCTGTTAACACTGAGACTGATCTCTAAGAAAATTTCAACAATTTAGATGTCCATATTTATTTTGAAGACCCCTACTTTCTCTGTCATGACATAGAAAGTAGGGGTCTTCAAAATAAATATGGACATCTAAATGCACTTTTTCAGCTTTGAGATTCTTCACTGTGTTATATAAAAGGTGGTGTGTAATTTTGTGTTTTTGGCAAAACTAGAACAAATTAGTGGGGGGTAGCTTTTTGTAATATACATTTCTGATTCATAAGCTGCTTGTTTGTACTTTATAGTGTATTTAATGCTCTTTCGTATTAATGTATAAAAAGAGCGAAATAAAAAGTAGCCTTTGAATTGGGATAGCTAACTACTAACTTGAAGCAGAAAGATTTATGTTTAAGAGTATTAACATACTTGGGAACCCAAATAGGACTTAAAAATTGCCTCTAAATATATCTTTTTTTTAAAGGCAGCCAACTTGTTTTTTGTTCACCTGTTTCCTCAATAACTAAAAGAATGACAAATAGCAAATGATCCAAAAATATTTGTAGAATTAAATTTAAATATTTGGTATAAAATAATGTGAAATTGGTTAATTTTTGTTTAAATTCTTAATAGCTTCCAGGTGGTTCACTTATTTTTAACACTCTGCAGCAGCAGCAACAGCAGCTTTCTCAGTTTACACCACAGCAACCTCAGCAGCCCACAACTTCTAGTCAACAGCCAGGGGAGCAGGTATGAGTTTTCTAGTCTTCTATATGCTTTTACATCAAATTTGTAACATTTTCTGGTATATTTCAAGCATACTTCACGTGCTTTGTTAGTGTAAACATTTCCTGTACTGTTTTTATTAACAGTGGTAGCAATCAGCTATTGGGTACGTATTCCTAATAAAACAGTCATACCATACTGAATAGATGCTATCACCTGCATCTTGCATAGTAGGAATGAGATTCAGATAAATGGCTTGCTCATAGCCATACAGTGAGTGGCCAAGCCAGAGATTCAAAGCTAGGTCTTTCTGCCCCTGTCACTCATATATTTTCTACCCCATCATTATCTTTCTGTTTTTAGGATTTCATTGCTATTAGAATAGAGATGTCCCTATTATTATAAAATGTAGGGCAGTGGGAACACACACAAAACAAATGTGTACACTGCCAAAGAGAATGAAATTGAATAAGAACTGCAATAAATGACAGTAGAAGGAAGTACAAGTGTTTCTAAACTTTGGATACACTGGAGTAATCTGAGAAACTAAAAAATACTGATTCCTGGGTCCCACATGTAAGTTTCTCTGTCTCAAAATTATATGGAATATTCACCATTCCTTTTGCCCAGTTTCCCCCAGCTAAGTCTTAGTTGGATAAAGCTCATTTTCTAATAGAGTCCTCAGGAAGGGCACATTCAATGCTTACCATTTTTTAATTCTAACCACATTAAAGATTTTTTGGCTAGATATAAAATCCTTTGTTTTCTTTCAAAAAAATTAATTGTAAAATACACATAAAATTTACCATTTTAACTTCTTCAGTGTGCAGTTCAGTAATGTTGTGTATTCACATTGTTGTGCAACAGATTTCTATTATAGAACTTTTTCCATCTTGTAAAAATGAAACTATATCCAGTAAATAACAACTTTTTTTTTTTTTTTTTTTTTGAGATGGAGTCTTGCTGTGTCACCCAGGCTGGAGTGCAGTGGCGCAATCTTGGCTTACTGCAACCTCCACTTCTTGGGTTCAAGCAATTCTCTGCCTCAGCCTTCCCAAGTACCTGGAGTTACAGGGCATCTGCCACCATGCCTGGCTAATTTTTTTTTTTTTTTTTTTTTTTTTTTTTTTTTTTTTTTTAGTAGAGACAGGGTTTCACCATTTGGCCAGTCTTGTCTTGAACTCCAGAACTCGTGATCCACCCACCAAGGCCTCCCAAACAACTCTTTATTTCCTCCTCCCCTGGGCCACTATTCTACTTTGTTTGTATCAGTTTGACTACTCAAGATACTTCATATAAGTGTAGTCATATAGTTATTTGTCCTTTTGTGTCTGACTTATTTCACTTAGCATAAAGTCTTCAAGGAACCTTCATGTTATAGCATGTGTCAGAATGTTTTTTATCATGCCGAATAATACTTGTAAATACCATATTTTGTATATACCATGTTCATCCACTGATGAATGGATAAACAAGGTACTTGGGTACCTTCCACCTTTTGGCTATTGTACATAATGCTAGTATGAATGTGCACGTACAATTATCTCCTTGAGACCCCGCCTTCAACTCTTTTGGATTTATACCCAGACGTTAGATTGCTGGTTTATGTGGTAATTTTTAAATTTTTTAAGAAGCATCATACTGTTCCATAGTGGCTATACCATTTTACATCATTCCCGTCAACAGCACACAAAGATCACAATTTGTCCAAATCTTTGTCAACACTTGTCATTTTCTGGTGGTGGTTGGGTCTTTGGGGATTTTGCCTTTTTTTTTTTTTTGTCTTTTTTTTTTAAGCAGCCATCCTAATGGGTGTGAAGTGATAATCTCATTGTGGTTTTAATTAACCATTTTCCTTAACGGTTAGTGGTGTGGAGCATCTTTTCAGATGTGTGTTGGCCATTTGTATATCATCTTTGGAGAAAAGTCTATTTCAGGTCCCTTGCCTGTTTTTTTGTCAGATTATTTTTTGTTGTTGCTGAATTGTAGGAGTTCTTCATTCTTTATGTACACGTATCAGATGTTGATTCACAGATATATGGGTTGTCTTTTCACTCTTGATTGTATCCATTGCACACGTGTTTTTATTTTAATGTAGTTCGTTTCTTTTTACTTTTCTTGCCTGTGCTTTTCGTATCATATTGAAGATCATTGCCAAATGCAATATACTGAAATGTTTTCACTTCTTTTCTTCTAAATGTTCACTAGTTTTAGGTCTCCTTTAAATTTATTAAAAATGCTTCCTACTGTTGTTTTGCTTTGTATGTTTTTAAGAAATCTGATGCCAGTCTAATTATCTTGCTCCTATAAGTTTAAGCAGTTTGCCTAGAAATTTGTTTTTGAGAAATCTGATGCCAGTCTAATTTTCTTGCTCTTGTAAATTTATTTAAGCAGTTTGCCTAGAAGTGTGCCCTGAATGTTTAATATTTTCACTAGGATGTGTGTCAGAATTGATTTTATTTTTCCTGTGGGTCCTTTTAGTGTGTAGAGTCAGTTCTTTATTTCTGGAATGTTTTCTTGATGATAATTTGTAGTTTCATAAGTGGAAGCTAAGATTATTGTGTTGAGGTCATTCTTTTCTAAAATAAACATTTAATGTTATGTATTTCCTTCTCAGTACTGCTTAAGCTACTTTCCACAAATTTTGATATGCCGTGCCTTCATTTTGTTCCATAGAATTTTCTGTCTTATGGATTCCTCTTAAATGAGTTATTTAGATAATGTTTGATTTCTAAGTACTTGGGAATTTTCCAAATTATCTTTCTGTAGTTGATTTCTAGTTTATATCCACTGTGGTCTGAGAACATTTTTGGTCCTTTTAAGTTTGTTGAGGTTTGTTTGGTGCCTGAGCACATGATCTGTCTTGATGAATTCTCCACATATGCTTGAAAAAAAAATGCATATTCTGCTGTTAGGAGTGTTCTGTATTAGATCAGGGTATTTGATGGTATTATTCAGGTCTTCTATATACTTTTTTTTCTACATGTTTTTTCAGTTACTGAGAGAAGTTTTGAAGTCTTCAAACAAAATTGGAAATTTCTATTTCTCCTTTTGCTAAAGGTTGTTTTTTGAGCCCATATTGTTAGGTGCATATACATTTAGGATCGTTATATCCTTGATTAATTTACCCTTATCATTAACAAATGACCTTTATCTTAGGGTAATATTTCTTGTTTCTTTATTCTGATTAATGTTAGTGTTGTACATCTTTTTTCATCCTTTTAGTTTTAGCCTTAGTTCTTTTATTTCTTAGTGTTTATTTTTCTTCTTCAAAATGTTTGTTTAATCGTTATTTCTCCTGTTTGAATATTCCATTTATGGTGGTGGCTTACAGTCTACCTTAGGTTTGTGGAGTGTTTTGGGGGGAAATTTGTATCACTGCTAGTTTTTTTGCATTTTGAGCTTTTTTGTTTTATCAGAGCTCCATTTTGGTAGTGATGTGGTCTGCCTTATTCTGTTGTTCATTTCATGAACCGGGTTCCAAATTCAATAACATACCCTCCTTTCAGCTATGTGCTCTTTTGTCCAATCTCTATCTCCAGGGAGTTCCTGTCAAGATAAATGTAACTTTTGAAATGTTTGGCTTGCCATTACATACTGAAATGTTACTTCAGACACTATTTTAGGTGGTACCAAAGGATGTCTTCTGCAGAGCAAAAGTTTTAATTCGCTGAAGTCTCAGTTAACAGTATCTTTCCTTTATGGAAAATGCTCTAGGTATCATGTCTCAAAACTTTTTACTTAGCCCTTGGTCCCAAAGATTTTCTCTTACATTTTTTTCTAACAGTTTTATAGTTTCCTATTTTGAACCTATAATCCCTTTTCAGTTAATTCTTGTACAAGGTGTGCAACTTAGGTCCTTTTTTTGTTTGTTGGTTGGTTTTTTTTTGGTTTTGTCTATCAATATCCAAGCTATCCTTTCTGAATTACTTTTGCACCTTTGTTAAAAGTCAGTTGGGTCCATCTGGGTGGGTCTATTTCTAGGTTCCCTGTTCTATTTCATTAATCTGTATGTCTACTCCTTAGCCAATACCACACTGTCTTGTTCACTGTAGTGAGTCTTAAAATTAGGCAGGTTTTTTTCCCATACCATTTTTCAAAATTGTTGTAGCTAATGTAGGTTTTCTACCTTTCCATATAAATTTTAGAATCATCTTGTCTATATCTACAAAAACCTTGCTGCCATTTCTAAAGGAATTGAGTTAAACCTGTTGATCAATTTGGGGAAGAACTGCCGTCTTTATGATGTGAGTCTTCCAGTACATGAACATAGTATGTCTTTATCTAGGCCAAAGTTAATGTTTTGTAGTTTTTGGTATAAAAGTACTGTACATGTTTTCTTAGACTTAAGATTCATACCTAAGCTTTTTTTCTAATTTTTTTTTTTTTTGAGAAGTTGTGAATGGTATTTTACTTTTCACATGTTCATTACCAATATATACAGTGCTGACTTTTGTATGTTGATCTTGTATTGTGCCCTTTTACTGAACTAACTTACTAATTCTAGGAGCTTTTTTGTAGATTGCTTAGGATTTTCTACAGACAGTTGTGCCATTTGCAAATAAGGACAATTTTACTTTTTCCTATAAAATCTATATGCCTTTTATTTCCTTTTCTTGACTTAGGCTGCTGACTAAAAGTTTTAGTACTATGGTTATGTTACAAAGGGTGTTTTAAGCTTTAAAAAACTGTTTCCATGAAGCTTTATAAAAGCCATAGGCATTATGAAGGTAGTATCAATCAATCAATCAATACCGATGCACTGAAAAATAAAGCTTTCTTTGTTCAAATACTATAAATGTATTCTTGCTTATTCTAAATACCTTTGAAGTCTTTTTTCCTTGTTATTCTTTTTACAAGACTAGTCTAAATACTGATACTTTCTTTCATACAGGAAAAATACTTATTTACCAGCTTAAATTTGTTTTTCCTTCTTGTTCAAGTCATTTATTAATTTGTTTATTCAGGGTTCTGAACAAGGTTCAACCAGTCAAGAACAGGCCTTATCTGCTCAGCAAGCTGCTGTCATTAACCTTACTGGAGTAGGAAGTTTTATGCAGTCACAGGCAGCTGGTAGGTATCTTCATAACTTTATATGCTGAATTTAGTAAACATATCTAATCTATTTGGGATCTCACCACTTAAATTACTTTCTTTTCCTTCCCTTGCAAACAGTAAACAGGAAAAAGTAAAGCTATATTTAATGTGTGAACTATTAAATTAATGGCTGAGATTTTTTCATTAATTTGATAGTGGATTAATTAAAAGAGCTTTGACTTAACGTAATTACCACAGTTGTATTTTCCTTATGTTACAGTTTACCGGCAAAATTTAATAATTATCCAATTTACTAGGAAGTTACTAGAGCTGTTGTCAGTGTTTGCCAGTAGTTATCTTAATTAATAACTTTTCAGTTTTCCTGGGTTAAGACTGAATTTTTCTACATTGCATAATATTTTGTCTCATTCTCGTAACTTGTAGTTGCATAAATGACTGAAGTCTTAATGGTCAGTAGCATAACTTCTGTAAGCCACTTTTATCATTTAAAAAAAAAAAACGATTAAATTACTTCTCAACACATCCAGCAGTAAATGGTGAACTAAAGATTTAGTCTTAATGAATATTATCTTGTTAGCTGAAGATGATAATTCTAACTTCATACTTAACAGTAAGCCACATGTATAAGAAAACTATGATAGAGTTTGATGATTGAATGAGTGACTATGTTATCAGCATCTTAAGTTATCAGCATCTTAAGTGGGCTTACTATGATGCCTTTAGAAGTCCTTTAGAATAATCAAGATCTTTATTTTGGCAGTAAGTAATCCTTACATAGTTTCAATTTAGAGGTAATGAATTCCCAAATGTTAAGTTTACGTAGATATGTACCATTATCAGACCAGTTGTGAATTTCCGAAAAGAGCTATAGTGTAATTCAGTAGAAAGGACGCTAGTTTGAAAAATCATGAGAATGTTCCTAGCCACAGACTTGCCACTTAAACCATGTTGGCCTTAAACTTCCTCATACGTAAAATGAGTGTTGAACTGATTACTGTTGTCCCACTCAGCTGAAAAATAACAATGCTCAGTCTCAGTTCACCACCTTTGTTGTTAATAGTCTGATATTCATTGCAGCATCTTTTGTTTAAAGCAATTGTCTGTCTACCAGTTTTGTTGTTACAATAGTTTAGATTTCTTCCATCTCCCTTTTCCTACTTTGTTGGTTATATTTAAAAAATAATGTACTCTTCTAAACAAAATAGCACCAGTATCAAATTCCATACAGATGCAAGAGGAGAGGTTCAGTGTTTTGACACATAATGCACTCCTTTCTCTTGTGTCCAGTAAGTTCCATAATCAGTGGTACCCCCAACTAACAGGAGACTATATACTAAATTTATTCTGAAATGTCTATGATTTGATACTTAAGATTAATCATACTGCTAACTTTTCTATTATTTCATTTTCTATGTTGTCCTTTTCTAACCCTGGTAGCCTTCAAACTTTTTGACTGCCCTGCTTTCCCCTTCTCCTCTCTGTAGTGTTGTCTCAGCTTGGCTCTGCCGAGAACAGACCTGAGCAAAGCCTTCCTCAGCAGAGATTCCAGCTCTCCTCTGCCTTTCAACAGCAGCAACAGATACAAGTAATCCAGCAACTTCACTCTGATTACATTTTTAAAGATACTCAGCTCCAAAAGTACCTCAAAATAACTTGCTTTAGTTTTATTTGACTGTCTTTTAAGACTATACAGTAATTTATAAATAATTTAGCAAATTTTAAAGTCTGACATTTTAGCCAGTCAACTTGGAGCACTGAATATATTTTGTACATTTAAGCCATACTTTCTAATTTAAAATTTTTCATGAAGTGCTGGTGGCACATTAACATACATTTTTCTAGAATGCAGTATATTTTGAAATAGACAGTTTTAAGTGCCAATTGTTAACTTTCTAATATTTTACTGCAGAAAAGTGTTCCTGTTAGTAAATGTCATACCTGTTTATTTAGAAAAATGTTATACCATAATTTTAGGAAGGAAAGTCAGCATGTTATAATTGACTATCTTGATATATTCAGGGTTGTTTTATGTTGCTATAAACTATCATTATACAACAAAATGGTAACTGAAGTTGCTGAGTTACTACAATATTGACTGGCAGGGCAAAGTAACAATTTGGAAGTTTGCCAAGAATCATTTTTAAAGCCCTCAGCAGGCTTCTGTGCCACTGGTGCTGTTTGACTGTGCATTGTCTCAATGTGGTATAGTCCCTTTTGTTATCTTGGTGCTTTCTCCCTTTTTCAGTTTTGTTGTTTTCATCACTCTCAGGAAAAGAACCTTTCCACACCTGCCTGCATTTAACATAACTTGATTTTTTTTCCCTCCCTTTTGCAGCAGTTGCGATTCTTGCAGCATCAAATGGCTATGGCAGCAGCAGCAGCACAAACAGCTCAGCTACATCGTCATCGGCATACAGGCAGCCAGTCAAAAAGTAAAATGAAGAGAGGCACGCCAACCACTCCAAAATTCTGAGTCTTGCATTATTTTTTTTTCCTTTTTTAAAAACACAAGAGCATTGAATCAAAAGGATTGAGTTTCTACTTCCTTTTTGTTTTTTTTTTAAATGTGTCAGTATTTTACATTGCTAGATGTACAAACTTTATACAGAAGCACAACCTTATCATTTTTAAATAAAAACAGGGAAATGGTTTAACAAACTAGGGTTGGTTTGCCTAAGTCATTGCTTTTTAAAAATGGTTTCACTATACATAATATATATGGAAGTGATCTAAGAAATACTAGAAATATCTTTCAGGAGAATGTAGTCTGAGATTTATTTAGTACAAAACATTTGTGCACAGTGTTAACAAATACAGTTTTTACAAATCTGTTTTGAAAATGTGGTGGATATTTATTTGGGTTTGATACTCTTAATTACTTCATCCATCAATTTTTTAACTTCTTTGTGTCTTGTAACTGCTCGGCTCATACAGTCCTGAAGTTTAGCTCCAGTTAGCCCGCTTCCACCTGAAAAATTATTTTTCCAATACTTACACTAATATCATGTCAAATTATAAAACAAAAAATTGGATAATGTAAATCGGGGTACAGTCTCAAGATCTGCAAGTTAGTTTAACAAGACCTCCAAGTGATTCTAATGTATGTCTTAAGTTTAAGAACCACTGACATAAACCATAAAGATGTAAGAAAATTTGAGGTAGCTAAGAAACCACAGTAAACTTAAATTAGGTAAATAAAATATCCCATATTCCATTTGGCCCTCCCTAATTTAAAGCTAAGACTGAGTTTTCATCTACATATGTTTAGGACTGAAGTGGCAAGAACATGCCTGGTTTGTGAAGACAACAGAGCTTGCCTTCCTCATCCATTACTATTGTTAAGGTTCCTGTTGCCAGATGTTCCTCCTCTCCAGTAGGGTCAACTATAAGCAAAGTGCTATAAAAAGAAAAAAGTGTAAGTTTATCAATCGATGGAACAAATTTTACTTTAAAAATACTAAACACACTATCAGCCTCCCAAGTAATTACAGGCACACACCATCACGCCCGGCTAATTTTTATATTTTTAGTACAGACAGAGTTTCACCATGTTGGCCAGGCTGGTCTACAATTCCTGACCTCAAGTGATCTCTGGCCTCGGCCTCCCAAAGTGCTGGGATTACAGGTGTGAGCCACCATGCCTGGCCCTGCTTTTGTATTTCTGAACATGCTAAAATCCTTGAAAAATACTGAAGATAACTTCAGGTAAATCTTTAGTGAAAGAATTGAAAAATTAACATTACACAGGTAAGGAACAAGTAAAAGGAACACAACTGATCATCCAATTCAGGATGCTTATGAAAGCAAATAGGTTGACTAGAAATAATTGTGCAGGGAGAAGTATAAATTGAAGTGTTAATGGAAAACTAGGATGTGGGGTCACCATAAGCATTTCTGAAGAGTTAGAAGGCTGAACATCAATTACCCTAATCTTAAATATAGAAAATTTTAAAGTAAGTTTGATTAACTTACTCATCAAACACAGCAAAGGAAGTTGCAACTGGATGAGTTCTAATATTCAAATAACTTTTCTTCTTTAAATTAACTTCTGCTAAAGCAGTTTCTTCATTTATAGTAACTTCAGGCAACTGTACTAAGAAAAGGCAAATTTGTAAAATAAGTCTAATGGACAAATGGTTTCTAAGCTTTTTTTTTTTAAATTCACCTTTGCCTCTATTTAACTTGCCCAGAACATTCCTTTTTAAAAAGCACCTTACAACGACTAAGGTAAATACAGAGGATATACATTGCATTTCACAGCATCTGACATTCCTACCTAGTGCTTATTGCATAATTTTTTTTTTAAAGTTTAAGAAGTCAAAATGATTTGCTTTTTTAATTTTTAGAGAGGGTATTGCTATGTTGCCCAGACTAGGATTGAATTCCTAGCAATCCTCCTGCCTCAACCTCCCCAGTAGCTAGGCCTATAGGCATGTGCCACTGCACCCATTTTTGAAATAAAAATGATTGCTAATAGATAACATGTCTAGCTAATCTATATCTGCCAGGTCCTGTTTTAAGCATTTTCACATTTTCATTGTATTCATATAATCAATACTCTTATAAAGAAGTACTATTATCCTTATTTTATTATAGATAAGGAAACTTCAGCACAGAGTGGTAAAGCCAGGATTCAAACCTAAGTCTCTGCTTTAACCACTCTATAATAATATTACTGTGCTAACTTTATTTTCTATCTCCAATTATTTGTTCTTACCAATTCAGCAGTGCAATGATAGGGAATATGCACAAGTCATTGAACTCTATAATCAGTCAACCTAGACTCCTTGTTAAGAAACTTCACTATTACTGTGGCCTCACAGTAAAAACAACAGAATCCATTCTACTTCTTTTGGTAGTATCACATAAAGAACTATGAGGATACTGGCAGATCTTCACCAATCACCTAGCCAGAAGTTAAACTCTTAACTACTTCCCCAACCAATATTTTGGAAAGGAACGAAGTCCTAACCTAAGTAGATGGGTACAGTCAAAGCAGCCATCTTAAACAGCATTCAGTTAGAGAATTTACATCAACTATATTTGGAAAGTCATGTCAGTATTACATTCATTAATTTGGAAACATATGAAAGTAAATGTACATGAAAAGTTTCACAAAACAACATTCTAAACCATTTGTGGAAATACTGCCTTTTTTTAAAGGCTGCTTACCATTTTTTAAAGCTGCTAACAAAGCAAATGTGCAAGCATCCAAAATGTTTCCATCATAGTCAAGGCAAATGAGATCACAGTATAGAACCCAGGCAAGCTAAAACAGAATTAACACAAAAGAAAATTAAAGCCTTCTAATGGGAAGAACATACTATTCGCTTAGACATAAGAACCACAGAACCCTTGGTTAAACAAGCAAGATAATCTTTATGGCTCGGAAACCTTAAATGCTTTACCTTTGTAAAGGAGAAAATCAAAAGGAAGTAGACAAGTTTTGGTAAAAGCTGGCTTTTGATTACCAAGCTGACAAATGGCAAACTTGTCCATTTCCTTTAATGGAGCTACAGATATAGAAGAACTTCCACTCTTATTGAGAGGTTATAGTTGAGGGAGATGGTTTTGAAAGCCCTAGCTAAAATTCAAAAGGCACCTTCTCATAATGCATGAAATGTTTAGGTTTTACAGTGCTAACGTATCAGTTTATGTGATCTGGTAGGAAAGCCTCTCTAGTTTCTAATCAACCTAGTTTTACATTTTCAAATAAGACTTTTGGAATCTACTGTATGGTTTCACCATAAACATACGTTAACATGATTAGCAATTAATCTGCTACAAAGAATAAAAAATGAACTTTTCTCTAAAAGTTAAGGGGGAAAAAATTACTTCAATTAAAAAGGTAGCTCCCAGATGCAATAAGTTAGTCAAACTTGTTTTTTTATAAACAATATGGTTCATTTAGAGAATTATAGAGTAAGAAATTACTGAATCTCTAAAATCTGTAAACAGTCATATTTAAGGCTACTTTGATTGGTTGCTTTAATTTTCTTCACTTTCCCCCTCAAAAAATCCCTTCAGAATTAGTAAGAACTTAAAAGCTTCTCTATTCCTCTTACCTTTCCTGGAGAAATGCATAAGTCCTCTTTCTGAATTATCTGTGAACTTGATTTAATGACAAAGAGCAAAGTAAGTGAAAAGTCAAAAACTATCTGAAAATGAAATATAGTCGGATTTTATATATATGGTGCTCTTACTTTTCAATGACATCTGCAATGAACTGGCTAGCCACTTGGGCTTCTTCTCCAGGAGGTCCAGACCGGAATCTCGATGAACACAGGGGTGGTAGATCCACATTAGGAACTGAAAGAAACACTCTGCAGCTATGAACTAAACTTTTTAACTTCTGGATTACTCATGGGTTAAAGGTATTATCCACAGCAAAGGCAACCATAGCCATGGATAGGCTTTTCTGAGTGGAACGCATTGGAACATTAGAGTTATATTCTGTTTGTTCTCTGTAAGACTCCTAGACTTAGATAAAATGAAATTTATATTTTTCTTTTTCCCCCATATGCATTTTTTAAAAATCTATTTTAGGCCTTAATTCTCCTAAATCCTTCACAAAAGTTTTCCTGGTATCTTTCAAAACACCTCAATCTGTAACTGAAGATAGCTCCTCTGTTTTTCTTATTTAAAAAATGTTGGTTTCTATCATAAAGAACAGATGGTTCCAAGACAAGAAAAAAATAGCAGTTGTATAAAGAATCTTTATGGAAACAAAGTGTGCAGTGACAGTTCTCTGACTAAAAAAAAATTCCATTCTATTTTTTTTTTCTTTTGAGACAGGGTCTCACTCTGTCACTCAGGCTGGAATACAGTGACATGATCACAGTTCACTGTAGCCTTGACAGCCCGGGCTCAAGCAATCTTCTGCTTCAGCTTCCCACGTAGCTGGGACAGAGGTGTGCACTGGCACATCCAGCTAACTTTATTTTTTTGTAGAGACGGGGGTCTCCTTTGTTGCCCAGGCTGGTCAAACTCCTGGGCTAAAGTGATCCTGCCGCCTTGTCTCCCAAAGTGCTGGGATTACAGGTATGAGTCACCATACCCGGCCAAAATTCTATTTTCTTACTTCGTGATATATGAATGTATAAACAAGAATTGAGAAACCAAGTTTGATAAAGGTCAAATGTATGAAATTCTATATCCTGCTATTATGCTATCTTTTACTAACACATACATGGAAAACTTTTGAGGAATGTGTTTTATTCCTAAATATTTCTGAATATTAGGAATAATTTTCTTTACATCAACTCAACTAGTAGGACTTAACTAAAATTATCAAAATGTGTTAAAAGTATTCGTATTAAAATTACAAAATCGTTTAACTTACCAACATATCCTTTATCAGGGGCATCTGTTGGTGGTGCTGCAAATTCCTATAGTAGCAAAGAAATGTTTCCTATTGAAAGAAGCTACTAAAAAATTATGAAGACAATTCAGTATTGGTGCTGCTGATCCTCACAATAGCTCTACAAGATAACAAGGTACTATAGTACAATAGACTTCATTACAGTGCTGCTCAAGATTACCTGGAGATCTTTTAAAAAATACTAATTGGGTTTGTGCCCCCACCCAGTAGCCAAGAATCTCTATTTATTCCCCAGATGATACAACCACATTTAGGAACTGCTGCTTTAGTGGTAAAGAGCAAAAGCTCAGCCAGGCATGGTGGCTCACACCTGTTATCCTAGCACTTTGGGAGGCGAGGTAGGCAGGTCACCTGAGGTCAGGAGTTTTGAGACCAGCCTGGCCAACATGGCAAACAACATGGCCATCTCTCTACTAAAAATACCAAAAATAGCCAGGCGCAGTGGCAGGCGGCTGTAAT